AGGGGAAGAAAAAGTTATTATTAGACAACGACGTCTTCCCTGGCGAGCACCGAGGTTCCGTATGCATGGTGCGCCTAACAAGGAGGAAATTGCTTCTTCGGATTGCTGATTGAGTTTTCGCAGACAAAAACCTGGGGAGGAGGGGGAGATCGGAAGTGCCCGCATTCTCCCCGCACTCTCATCCCCTTCCTTCTACATAAAACTGTTACGAGGGAATATAGCACGTGTTCGCATTAAGAAGAAACGCAGACGTTAGTATTTAACTAGAAATGTGTAAAAATGTTGGTTGTTGAAAGGCAAAAGGAAGACGCCCGAACAGGGACTTGAACCCTGGACCCTCAGATTAAAAGTCTGATGCTCTACCGACTGAGCTATCCGGGCTCTTGCAGGAAGCCCGCTGCTCTAGACACCTTTATGTAGGAGGAAGCCTTGCGCCCTCGGCCCCGCCCCACGCGGAGGATTCGTGCGCGGAACCAGCGCCTTTCCCTAGTTCACGCTAAACCACGAAATAAAGTTACACGCACTTGCCTCGTCATCGGCTAGGCGTCTTTGATTTGTAATCTAAACGGGTCTAGGCTTTGCAGCAGTGACCTGGGCCCATTTTACCCTTGATCGCCGTGGACATCCGCCTTGCAAATCCTACCAACAGGAGAAAGAAAAATGCCTAAGAGAAAGTACTAATATTCCGTTCCGCAGCTATTGGCAGCTAGAGGGTCGTGTAGGTCATCCGAAGGCATTCAAGTCATTTTCTGCGGCCTAAACCCTGGGCTGACAGTGGGAGCAGAGACCCTGAGAAGCCCAGGAGGCCTGGACCAGCCTCGAGATCGATCTGATGGATCCACCGTCTGGACATCCGAGGCCCTTGCCTTCCACAGCTGTCAGGAGTGTGTACACAGGCTTCTGCCAAAGAGGTGGATGGAGAGTTACCCACCACAGGGCTTGAGATTTCCCTAACAATTTAATCGGAAAGGACACAGTGCTTTATAAATGAAGGATAGAACAGCCTTCATATCAACTTGTTAGGCTGCCATTAATATCATTACAGAATAAGAAAATCTTCAACATGTTAATATTCAAAGACTATGATATTAATATTCTTTCTTTTCCTTTTTTCAAGGAAAACCAATCAGTGGCTCAAGTGGTAAAGCACTAGTCTTGAGCAAAAAAGCTCAGAAAGCCCAGGCTGTATGTTCAAGCCCCAGGATTGGCACACACACATACTCAAAAGCAAACAAGGAAACAAAAAATATGTGGGAAACATTGAAAGGATAAATAGTCTAACAAACCTGGGGTCCTGAAAGCAGGTGCCTTAGCTGAATCCTGTTTACCCAGATGTAATCACTCAGGCATGTGATAATCAGAACCGTGTCTGATACATAATAAGCGTATGTGAGTCCTGAGAATACATTTCCACAAAGACTTAACATAATTGATCGGCATGGAGAGAGATAAAGAGAATTGTGAAAGGTGACAAAATTCGCTTAATCTCAGGCAAGAGGAAGAACTTTACCCACTATTAAACATTTGACCCATTCCAATTTCCCACTCAAAAGAGCATACAGTACATTTGTTCCATTCAAAACAACAGTAAGGGTTACCACAAGTAAGCATTCTGTACAAGAATTGTACCCAGAAAAATTCTATCTAGGGATAATGTAAAATTATTTCTAAAACTGGCTGTGTGTAGGTGGGATGCTGAGAAATAAAGAATGTTATTTGATGGCCTTTTCTTTGTTCAGAACCCTTTGATTCTTTCCTGCTATGTATTGAATAACACTTGGAAATTTTTTATAGCAGCTTTTAAAATAAGCTTTGAATACATACACACTCAGAATCCTCCAAAATCTTACCCCACTCTTGTTTGACTAGCATTCCACATAGCTAGCACCATCCAATAGAAATAGAATTCAAGCCATGTATATAATTAGATATTTTCTAGTAATCACATTTCAGAAGGGAAAAAGAAACAGTTGAAATTAATTTTATTTTATTCAACCTAGTATATCCAAGTATCTTTTAACCAGCAACCAATATAAAATAAGATATTTTACATTCTTTTCAGCTTATAAAGCCTTTGAAATATGATGCGTATTTTATATTCAAAGCACATGTCAGTTTGGACAAACCACATTTCAAGCCACATAGCATAGCTACAACACTAGTGTGGTTCTACATTCTATTTCAGACCTACATTAGTTTGCACACAGCAACCAATGCTTCAATGTGAAATCTTTGTTCTGACTCATCATCATTCTTTCCCCCATGCCATTCCTTCAATCCCCTTTTCCTATTCAGCCTCTTTTTTTTTTCTTTCCATCCGTGGGTCTTGAACTCTGGGACGGGGTGCTGTCCCTGAGCTCTTTAGCTCAAGGTGAGCACTCAAACCACTTGAGCCACAGCACCACTTCCAGTTCTTTGGTGGTTAATTGGAGATAAGAGTCTTACTGACTTTCCTGTCTGGGCTGGCTTTGAACTTCGATCCTCATATCTCGGCCTCCTGAGTGGCTAGGACTACAGGTGTGAGCCACTGGCGCCCGGCTCCTATTCATTTTTTTTTTTTTTAAGACTTCACTCCAATTATACTTCTTTTATGACGACTTCAATGATTATGTTAAATAGGAAATCAAGTTTAATTCAAGAGCTATAGACCAAAGTCCAGCACTGGTGGATCATGCCTGTAATCCTAGCTTTTCAGGAGAGTGAGATCTGAGGATTGCTGTTCAAAGCCAGCAAGAGCAGAAAAGTTCCAATGAGATTCTTATCTCCAATTAGCCACCCCAAAACTGGAAATGGTGTTGTGGCTCAAAATGGTAGAGTGCTAACCTCGAGTGAAAAAGTATAGGGACAGTCAGTGCTTAGGCCCTGAGTTCAAGCCCCAAGACTGCCTCTCCTCTCCCCAAAATATTCAGTGATAGGACCATAACATTGTTGGAACTGAGAAAACTGATTGCTGTGTTACAACATGAACAAAAGTCAATTATAAACAGATAAATGGCCTAAATGTGAAAAGCAAATCTTTGGAGCTTTTAGAGGACATGAGAGCATCCTTATGACCCAAAGTCAGAAAAGAATCTTTTAGTAAAATATATTAAAAGCAGCGTGCTGGTGGCTCATGCCTGTAATCCCAAGCTACTCAAGAGGCTGTGATATGAGGACTGTTGTTCAAAGCCAGCCTGGTCAGGAAAGTATGTGAGACTCTTTTCTCTAGTGATCCACCAAAATGCCAGAATTGGAGCTGTGGCTCAGTAAACCACCAGCTTTGAGAGAAATAGCTAAGGGCTTGGGTGCTATTCCTGGGCCTTCTTGATCAAGGCTGGTGCGCCATTTCCAGCTTCCCGTAGTTAATTCTGGATGAGTGTCTCACAGGACTTCCCAGGTTGGCTTTGAACCATGATCCTCAGATCTCAGCCTCCTGAGTTAACTAGTACCTAGCTGTTCATCCATTTTAAAATGCACAAATGAAGGGGATATTATCTTGACCTTCCAGTGGAAGCCAAGAGAAGCTCATCAATTGTTGCACTTACAATATTCCCTTCACTCAGACAGTCTGACTTTTCCACTAGCCAGATTCCAGGTCTTATTTTGGAAGCCTCTAGCTTGTTGCTTGGCATACAGTTGTTCAGCAAACACTTGTAAACCCTAAACAAACCGAATTACACGGGATCATCAAAATGCAAGACTCCAGGAGACAGAAGAAAGTTACATAAGATAACCAGATACTATTAAAAAGGTACAAATTCCTGCTTGAGTATTAAGTAAATAGTTGATAATGGTTTACTTAAAGCCCTCTGCCCATTGTTTTTGAGGAACGGTTGTAGATGGTAAAGTAGCTGTGAGCAACACAAAAGGAAAAGATTTTTGTATGTGGTGGTACTACGGATTGAACTCAGGGTCTTACACACTTGTCTAGCTTTTTCCCTCAAGGGAACTTGAAACACAGCTCCATTTCTGGGCTGTAAATTGGCGATTAAGAGTCTCCAGATTTGTCTGTCCAGGCTGGCTTCTGAGATCTCAGCCTCTTGAGTAGCTAAGATTATTACAAGATGTGTGAGCCACTAGCACCTGGTCAGGACTGATTTCTGTGGCTCTTTTACAGAACTCTGAATCTATAGTGAGAGATTCTGCTAGAAGCAGAACAAGATGCAGTGTGCAAGTGAAGGTAGATATTGCCCCATTTTCTTTACTATGGCTATGAATCTGTCTGGGAAGCACATTTTTAAACAGAACAGTGACTGTCTAGAAGATAGAAACCAGGGCGGAAAGTGGACTCCTTTCTCTCACACACTTAAAACACTTAAGGGGTTTTGGCCTGCAGAGAAAGAGAGGGTTGGGGAGGGACAAGGGATGTTTGTCTTCAAATGACAGTATTGTAAATAATGATGCTCTATTCTCCGAAGTCCAGACCTAAACAGGTCTACAAGGCAAAATGTTTCAGCTCAGGTAGTCCTCAAATTTAGAATTATCCTGCAATCAACGAAACGAAGTAGTGGGTGGGGGGCAGTCCCGTTCCGTACAGCATGTGGAAGACAGGCGGGCAGAGAGGGTCGCCCAAGGAGCACTTAGAGATAAATGTATCAGGAGATAAGATCTGGCTGGGAGATGCAGGTGACATCTGACTCTCTGGTGTTTGCAACTTTTTCGCTTTTTACCCCGTATCTCGTAATTGTTTGCGAGTTCAGAGGTCTTCTCTCCAGAAAGCGAGGCCCTGGGGGCCCCGCGCCCCCTCTCCAGCCAGCCCTGGGGAGAAGGAAGCATAAGGAAACAGAGGCAGCTGCCAAGAAGCAATGCTTTGGGGGAGAACCAAAGGCGGTGTGTGGCCATGCTTGGTCTCTCCTGCGGCTTTCTGGCCGACTATGACGCCTCCGTGGTCATCACAAGGCCCCCAGAGTCCCCCTAGCCTGCCCGCTCCCGTCTCCCCAGGCCGGCCCACTTCTCTCTCTCCCACCACGAAGGTCCACTCTATGGTAGGCCTCTGAGCCCTTCTAGCTCTCCAGTCCTCCGGCTTCGCTCTCTCTATGGTTTCCGGAAGTCTCACCGGAAGCCCTTGGCGTAAGAGCGTGCGGGGGTGTGAGGAGACCGGAAATTGCGTCCTCATTGCTCGCCGTTTCAAAATGCTGCTGAGGCCTTAGGCCCTGCGACTGACACCCTTTCCCTCCACCCCCCGGGGCTCGGAGGGGGCGCGACCCATGGAGAGGCCGTAAGGTGTGGCTGTGGGGTTGGTCCGCGGGGTGCCCGGAGGCCGGGGGGCGCGGGCGGGGGAGGAGGAGCAGGCCGCGGAGCCGCCGACCGGGAGGCCGGGCGGGCCTGGCAGCGGGCGGCGGGCGGGCGGCGGGCGGGCGGGCGGGGCCTGCGGCGTGGGCGGCGGCGTCCGCGGGGCGGGCGGAGGCCGGCGGGGGGAAGGGAGCTGGCTGGCGGCGCGGGAGGCACTGATGGAGGTGGGGTTACGGGAGGCTGGCTGTGGGCTGGCGCCAACCCCGGGGAGCGGGTCGGGGCGGAGGTGGTGGAGGAGGGAAGACCGGTGCACTCTGCGGGGGAGAGGGAGACCTGGTCGGGACTTAACGTGGAGTCACGTTTCGAGCTGCTTGTAGGTTTCGTTTGGGGTTATATTCAGACCTCCCGAAAGTGAGTCTCCTGAGTTTGTCTTCCTTTTTTTTTTTTTTTTTTCTTCTGTGCTGCTCCTCAAGATCTGGGCTCTGTGTCAGCCTTTTGCCAAAGGCTGGTGCTCTACCCCTTGAGCCACAGCTCCAATTGGTCTTTTTGGTGGTCAACTGGAGAGGAGTCTTACAGACTTTACTGCCCCCTTCTGGGTTCGAACCGCGATCCTCACATCTCAGCCTCTTGAGTAGCTAGGAATACAGGTGTGAGCCACCCAGCACCCACCATGTATTTTAATCACACTTTCCAGTGATTCTTGACACCCTAAAATTTGAAAGCTACTGTATTAAGACAACACCCGAGAGAGAATACTGCTACTCTTTTAACGTGTTCAGGAAAAGATCTTTCTTAGTGAGGCAGTGCCCGGAAACTTATGGATGTGGGTCTGTGGAACAAGTATCTGTCAAATTTGGAATCTTTTGTTCCTGTTAATTTTAAGTCTGACTTCGAGTTTAGTCCCTGCCCTCCTCACCTATTACTGATAGGAAAAGGTATGGCTTGAACTCTGGGCCTGGGTGCTGTTCCTGAGCTTCTCAGCTCAAGGCTAGCACTCTACCATTTGAGATACAGCCCCACTTCCAGCTTTTTCTGTTTATGTGGTACTGAGGACTTGAACCCGGGCTTCATGCATGCTAGGCAAGCACTCTACCACTAAGCCACATTCCCAGCCCCTGAAAATAAATTTTGTATTACCGGTTACATAACAATTTTTTTTTTTCAAGAGAATGGAAGTGCCTCTTTATAGTAATCAGGGAAGAACTCAATATTGTGGTGGTTGGATTTCAGTTCTCAGAAGGAAGGTGTGCCCAGTATCTATAATACAGGCAGAAAGAAGAAAGGGTTGGTGAAGCAGCTTGAAATTCAGGTCACTGCCTGGAGATGTATTAGGGTACCACTGGTCATCTTAACATTTTTGGCTTTTTCTTTTCTTTTGGTTTTGCCAGTCCTGGGGCTTTTGAACAGCCTGGGCACTGTCCCTCAGCTCTTCAGCTCAAGGCTAGCACTCTACCACTTGAGCCACAGCACCACTTCCAGCTTTTTCTGTTTATGTGGTACTGAGGAATCAAACCCAGGATGTCATGTATGCTAGGCAAACACTGTGACAAGGCACATTCTCAGCCCACTCCCATATTCTACCCTTCACAGTATAAGCCATGTATATTATGTTTTCCCCCTTTCCTATCTCCTGCTACAATAATTGAGAGTATGAGCTGTTAACCAGAACATGCCCCAGTGTCTGCATACAGAAAACTTACATGAACAGATGAGTACCAATGAAAAATATAGACCAGCTTGGCAAAGGTGTTTTTTTTTTCTCTTTTCAAAGTATAAAATTTTCCACTAGACGCAGATAAGGTAATCCACTGGATATACAACACAAGAAGGGCAGCCTTTTAAATGAGTTGGTTTACTTTCAAGATGATACAGAATGCAAGAGTAGAACAAAGAGCAGACTCTGGCAGGAACCTAGGCTGGGTTTACTTGAAATTTACAGCTGAGGTAGCAATGGCTGACACAATGGCTGACAAACTAGAGACTGAGCCACTGCAGGATTTTTTTTTTTAAAGGTCGTTCTTAATGTTCAGAGTCCTAGACAAAACTTCATTCTACCTATAGGTAGCAGAAATCCAGATGTTGAATAGGAATGGAATCAAGGGTCACTATCATCTCAGGGACAAGGAACAGCTTACTTTTTGCCAGATTTCTTAATTCCACCTGTGGCGAGGGGCCCCTTCCCCACGGCCGGCCTTCGCTTTCAGCTCCTCGAGTTTCTTCTGCTCCTCTTTCTGTTTCTGCTTGAAGGCCTTGTCTTCCTCATCCATCTCCTTGGCCTGCTTCTTGGGCTGCTTCACGGGCTTCTTCTTTCCACCTTCGCGGCCGGACATGATGCCAGCTGCGCCTTCGCCCAGACCCTGACCCGAAGCCCAACAATTTTAATTTTATTAGTGTGACCTGTTTTATACAGGGTGTTTCCTAGCTGGGCGCCAGTGGCTCAGTCCTGTAATCCTACCTATTGAGGTTGAGATCTTTGATTGTGGTTCAAAGCCAGCCCAGACAGAAAAAGTCCATGAGACTCTTTTATTTTTGGTTGATTGTGGGGCTTGAACTCTGGGCTTGGGCACTATCCTGCGCTCTTTAGCTCAAGGCAAGCGCTCTGCCACTTGAGCCACAGCACCACTTCCAGTTTTCTAGTGGTTTATTGGAAATAAGAGTCTCGGCCTTTCCTGCCCGGGCTGGCTTTGAACCGCGATCCTCAGATCTCAGCCTCCTGCGTAGCTAGGATTATAGGCCTGAGCCCCTGATGCCCAGCTCCATGAGACTCTTAGCACCAATTAAGCAACAAAAATCTGGAAGTGGAGCTGTTGCCCAAGTGGTAGTGTGCTAGCCTTGAGCAAAACAAGCTCAGAGACAGGGCCCAATTGAGTTCAAGCCCCAGGACTGGCACAAAAAAAAAAAAAAAAAAAATTCTGGCTTCTGTAGCCAGAGTGCTGAACTCTATGATTTGAGAGTAGGTTATCTTACCAGTTCCCTCTTCTGAAAACAAGTTTGGATCTGTGTAAAGCACATTGAGTACTGTGTGCAGTGTAATTTAAAGAGTGCCTTGTGCTAGGAAGGTGGCTCAGTGGTAGAGTGCTTGCCTTGCATGCATGAGGCCCTGGGTTTGATTCCTCAGCACCACAGAAATAGAAAAAGCTGGAGCCGGGAGCTGGTGGCTCACGCCTGTAATCCTAGCTACTCAGGAGGCTGAGATCTGAGGATCACGGTTCAAAGCCAGCCCGGGCAGGAACGACTGTGAGACTACTATCTCCAATAAACCACCAGAAAACCGGAAGTGGCGCTGTAGCTCAAGTGGTAGAGTGCTCGCCTTGAGCTGAAGAGCTGAAGGACAGCGCCCAGGCCTAGAGTTCAAGCCCCACGACCGACAAAAAAAAAAAAAGAAATAGAAAAAGCTGGAAGTAGTGCTGTGGCTCAAGTGATAGAGCTCTAGCCTTGAGCTGAAGAGCTCAGGGACAGCACCCAGGCCCAGAGTTCAAGCCCCACAACTGATAAAGAAAAAAAAGTGCCTGACACAGAGATGCTTAATTATAAAAGCATTGGCTATTGTATGCAACAGAAACAGGCTCCACAGTATAAAAGTTGACTGTATTATGCACTGTTTTGTTTTCTATTCCATTTATTTGGGAAGGAGTATAGGCCAGTTGGGGCACAAAGTGCATCTTGAAAACAATCCTAAAAAATGGTGAAAGGGAAGTAGTAGAGGAGCCAGGCAGGTTCAAGAAACTATAGTCATCATTGGGCTTGGGAATGTTTGGTAGAGTGGAGACTTGGAGAACAGCAAGATGAAATGGACAGCAAGTTGGAGATGAATCACAAAAGCTTATACACCCATACCTAGTAAGTGTCCAGAAATGGGGGTGTCTATTGTAGTGGGGTAAAAACTGGAGTCTTTACATTTTTTGGACACATTTGCTGTGGTACAAGTTAAATTGTCAGAAGATATTAACAGGGAAAAAAAACCCCTCAATTATGTACATATACACAGATGTCTCCCAAAATAGAACTCCTAAGATCTTATGATTGAGCCTCCTGTAGGAAAAGACATTGGGGATTGGGGCTTCATGGGGTTGTGACACAAGTTATGGGACTGTGAGGGGAGCAGTTTCATGGTGAATAAAGGTTTTGTTAAGCATATAAAATCTCAGGAAATAAAAATTGTCTCATGAGGCCTTTTTCTGGTAACAATACTTTTGCAGAGTTCTTTCTTTTCTTGTCAGTCCTGGGGCTTGAACTCAGGGCCTGGGTGTTGTCACTAAGCTTCTTTTGCTCAAGGCTAGCACTGTACCACTTGAGCCACAGTGTCACTTCTGGCATTTTCTGTTTATGTGATACTGAGGAATCAAACCTGGGGCTTCAGGCAGGCTAGACAAGCATTCTACCACTGAGCCACATTCTCAGCCCCCTTGCAGATTTCTTTTCTGATGATTTGTTTGTTTAAAGAGAGCTACAGCTTGGGTACTGGTGGCTCACACCTGTAATCCTAGCTACTCAAGAGGCTGAGATCTGAGGATCACAGTTCAAAGCCAGCGGGGACAAGAAAGTCCATGAGACGCTTATCTCCAATAATCCACTAGAAAACCAGAAGTGGTGCTGTGGCTCAAGTGGTAAGAGCGCTAGCCTTAAGCTGAAGAGCTGAGGGACAGCACCCAGGCCCAGTCCAAGCCCCATGACCTACCAAAAAAAGCCTACAGTTTCTCAGGATAACCAGTTCAAAAAATTTCCAGAGAAATCCAGAGTGTTGCTTCCCCTTCAGGTCTTGTTTTTTTTTTTTTTTTTTTTGGGGGGGGGAGGTGGTTTCAGTCGTGGGGCTTGAACTCTGGGCCTGGGCGCTGTCCCTGAGCTCTTCAGCTCAAGGCGAGTGCTCTACCGCTTGAGCTACAGCACCACTTCCAGTTTTCTAGTTGTTTATTGGAGATAAGAGTCTCAAGGACTTTCCTGCCCCGTCTGGCTTTGAACCCCGATCAGCAGATCTCAGTCTCCTGAGTAGCTAGGATTGCAGGTGTGAGCCACCGGCGCCCGGCATCCCACCAACTTTTTACGTTATTTTCCCTTTATTGAACACTGTTGAGATAACAGAAGAAGATTGAGGATGAGTCAGCTTTGTATAGAACTTACAGTGCCCCAAATGAAGGGGCAGTGTGTACTGAAGACCTGAAGGGGCCGGACGCTGGTGGCTCACACCTGTAATCCTAGCCACTCAGGATGCTGAGATCTGAGGATCACAGTTCAAAGCCTGCCCAGGCAGGAAAGTCTGTGAGACTGTTATCTCCAGTAAATCACCAGAAAACTGGAAGTGGCGCTGTGGCTCAGGTGGTAGAGCGCTTGCCTTGAGCTGAAGAGCTGAGGAACAGTGCCCAGGCCCAGAGTTCAAGCCCCATGACTGAAACCACCCCCCCCCCCAAAAAAAAAAAACAAAAAACAAACAAGACCTGAAGGGGAAGCAAATACAATTTAAGAAACTAAAAGATCAGTATGCTAAGGTACCATGAACAAGGAGGGGAAAGCACAATTTAAAGCATAGGTACCTCAGTGAAAATCCTTAAGATGGATGAAGCAAAATTGCTAAAACTGTCACTAGAGACAAACAGCATATTCTTGGTCTTGCTGAAGAATTCAGAGGTGAGACATTACAGAAGTCGTAGCAGAGCAAAATTTTATTAGAGCAGAACTAAGTGTGAAAGCAGAAATCAGAGGAAATGGCAGCTTGACAAAGCAGTCAAGCTTCCTTTTGGGTCTGACACTTGTGTGGGTGGTGGATATAATGAGTAAAATAACATTAGGCTTAGGCACTAGGAATATATGTCTTGTATATAAAATGCTAGTAATAGGGTTGGGAAGTTGGCTTAGTGGTAGAGTGCTTGCCTCACATGCATGAGGCCCTGGGTTCAATTCCTCAGCACCACATAAGCAGAAAAAGGTCGGAAGTGGTGCCGTGGCTCAAGTGGTAGGGTGCTAACCTTGAGCTGAAGAGCTGAGGGACAGTATCCAGGCCCAGAGTTCAGGCCCCACTACCGACAAAAAAAATGCTAATAATACTGGGCATATATTGGTGAACTGTCAGTTCACCCAGTTTGAGCTTCTACATAATGATTAAGATGAATAGTGTACTGGTTGGTAATATGGATGGTGGGAATGAGTTGGAAATACTTTTGTTTGGAAGTGGCTGTGGAAGATGTCATCCATATTGACCCTTGACCAAAGAATGATAGAGTGGAAGCTAGAAAACCTAAAGGAAAGGAAGATACACATCATTTTGTATGCTAATTAGTTGAGCTTTAGTGCTGACTGCCCTTTGGTAGCCAGTGTATGGACTCAAAATACCGGTGCAGAATTAGTGTTTGTACTTTTAACTCTACCCTGTAGAGTCTGAGGAGAGGGAAGAAGGGCTGAAAGTTAAATGGATCCCCAGTGGCCAGAGATGCCTATGTGTAGTACCAATCGTGTGTATGCAGTGAAGCCTCTGGCAAAGCCCAGTGGGAAGCTGAGGTTCCTGGAGAGTAGTTCATTGAGTAATGGTATGGAATCTTTATACCTCCTCCTATCTCCATTGGTATCCTTCATAATAATATGCTTTATAATAAGCTGATAGGCCCCTATACATGGGTTTCCCAGTTTCTGAACCACTTTACCAAGTTAATTGCTACAGGAGGGGGGGGGGGTTGGAATTCATACTTAATAGAAATTCACTCAGAAGCATGGGTAAAACCAGGGGCGCTCTCAAGTGGGAGACAATCTTGGGAGACAGAGCTCTAAACCTATTGGATCTGATGTTATTTCCAGGTAGAATATCAGAAGACACGTAGAATTGTTTGCTGGTGGGGATAAGTCACCATATTTCTTTTTCTTTTTTCTTGTTTTTTTTTGGTCGGTCATGGGACTTGAACTCTGGGCATGGGTGTGGGCACTGTCCCTCAGCTCTTCAGCTCAAGGCTAGAGCTCTACCACTTGAGCTATAGTGCCACTTCCAGTTTTCTGAGTGGTTTATTGGCGATAAGAGTCTCACGGACTTTCCTGCCTAGGCTGGCTTTGAACAGTGATCCTCAGATTACAGCCTCCTGTGTAGCTAGGATTACAGGTGTGAGCCACAGGTGCCTGGCTAAATCACCATATTTTTTGTTACCAAAGTTCATAGAAGGTTTCTATGTTGAGAGTACAGTATGTAAGCATTGTGCCCACCGTTGGTCCTCAGCTCCACCTGTTGGCCCCTCCCTTTCTCCACCCAGACCCACCTGAACTCCCATTTATTTCACTTCCTACACCAGAGACCCTGCTGCTACCTGGATAGAGGAGGCCACCATGTGCTCTCTCTCCAGGGTAAATGTGGCTCCTTTAATAAACCTTGTAATAATCTTTCTCCTGTGCCTGCCTGCCTCATCATGGTCCCCTAGCATGGATGTGGCGGATCCTTTCATGGATCCTTTCACAGTATGAAACAGGGTAGATAAAGAGATTGGGAAATTAAAGTGAGTGAATATTGAAAGGGTCAGAGTTTGATATTAGAACCAGGAAGTAATTGAAAACAAACACAAAACCCAGATAGAGCCGTTAGCTCTCTTTCAACACATAATTTTAGTTAAGTTGTATGAGTAGGAGACTCAAAGTTAGTATATGAGTCTGCTTTGTTCTCTGAGACAAATTGTAAAATTTCCCCTAGTGGACAGACACATTCTAGTGTTTTAGGTGGGCCTAGATCATTTATGTTTTAGAATAATCAACAGCACTTATCTTACTTACCCAACTTACAGTAAAAATGGGCAGTCTTTCAACAAATATAAACATTTCACTTTGTCACTTCAATTGAGCACATGAACTTTTTAACTTGATCTTAGGGCACCATTTCCCCCTTCCCCCCTTTTTTTTGGTACCAGTACTAGGGTTTGAACTCAGGGCCTGGGTGTTGTGCCTGAGCTTTTTCACTCAAGGCTAGTGCTCTACCATTTGAGCCACAGCTCTACTTCTAGCTTTTTGCTAGTTCATTGGAGTTGAGTCTTAATGGACTTTCCTACCCTGGATGGCTTTGAACCATGATCCTCAGATCTCAGCCTCTGAGTAGCTAGGATTACAGGTGTAAGCCACCAGCACCTGGCTTCCATTTTCTTTTTGACAGGCATGTCCTCTCAAGATTAAGGGTAGGGAAACAGCAAATTCTAACGATTTTAGCGCAAGTGATCATAATGTGGGAGTGATGGAGTGCTCCACATCAGCTGAGATACGTGATATGACCTGGGAATTAAAAATTCTTGTTTTTTTCCTTGGTATTTTCTGACTGCACTTGGGTCAAAGATCTAATGAATCTGTGAGTAGAGTGGGCTTAAGTTTGTTTTCTGAGGAGACATTCAATGAAAAAGTAGGTGAAGACGTCTGTAGAGTAGTAATGTAGTAAGAAGTGGTAGATTTTGGTTAACACTCCAAAGAGTTTAGCTTTGGCTAAACACATTTATTGATGGTTTTTCTTGGCTCTTTTCACTCTTTTATGTGGCTTGTTGAGGTCATACCTTTCACTAATTGTCATATATTTATTAGAAAAAGCCTGAAGGCAAGCTCAAACAAACTTACTTAAAAATACAGAGTGAAGAAATTTAAACCTTATGTGCTTCAATTTGTGTTCAATTTGTGTTCCTCTCCCCCCTCTTCCCTATCAATGTCTATATTGCAGGTATATAGTTGCCAAGTTCTTTTTAGGTTTGGCACACTTAAAAGCTGTTTTAACTGGGACTGAAAATGTTGAGTCACTTTTCTGTGGTCTCTTGTCTAGACTTGTTACAACATGTTGCCTAGGTTTTCCTTGAAGGTCTTGGGAATCTTAGTAATTTCCAGCTCTTCAACTGTCTTCTTAGAGGGTGCTGTTGAGCACCACCTCCAAGAAGAGATAATGTACCACCTGGTATCCAGTAAGGAAAGTTTGTAAATTTGACTTTCAACTGGACCGATTTACTCATTAACATCAGCATGGAGGGAGGAACAAGCCCAAACTTGTTTTCTTTCATTCTTCACCTGAGGGAGGCATAGATGGTTTGTAGTTTTAAGTGCTTAAGGAATATATACCTAAATTAAAAACAAAATTGTTTTGAAACATTTTCTTGCTGGATCAGTCTAGAAGGCAACCAAAGAAAGGTATGGGAAACCTCAGCATGGGTAGATTGCATTTGTATAAAGTTCTCTGTGAATTATACATATCTTTAATACTTCATGACATGCTGACTGCTTTTTAAAATGCTAAAGACAATTTTTTTGCTGGTACTGGGTCTGGAACTTAGTGCCTGGATGCTGTTCCTTAGCTTTTTCCACTCAAGGTTGGCACTATATTGCTTGAGCCACATGTTTATTTTTGGCTTTGCTGGTTAATTGAAAATAGAGTCTCATGGACTTTCTGGCCCTGGCTGGCTTTGAACTGGTATCCTCAGATTTCATCCTCCTAAGTAGCTAGGATTACATGTGTGAGCCACAAAGGCCTGGATTAAAGCAGAATTTTTAAAGTTTAGAATAGATTATATGTATGTAAATGTATATATATTTCTTTTAGTTACCAGCAGATTTCAATATTCACTGCCAAAATGACATCACATTCCACCTCTGCCCAGTGTTCAACTTCCAACAGTGCCTGCAGGATCTCTCCTGAACAAATAAATCAGGTAAGTAATTTTTGGTGTTTCTGTGTTTTTTTTTCCCCACATTTTTAGGAAATTAAATTAGGTTATGTAATTGTTATTTCACAGAGTAGAAATGCTTGTATTTTAAAATGTTAGGGATGTGGGTAAACAGCATTTTTCACCAATTTTAATTTACTATTGAGTAAATATCTGAAAGCCACAGATAACTTGGAATACATTTTGAAAGAACGGTGTGTTCTTAGTTTAGGCGTAGCTATTAGAGAATTTGGGATCAGGTTATGTGTGTTTTCTTTCACTTTATTGTAATTAGTTTTTCTTTCTTTTCTTTTTTTTTTGTCAGTTGTGGGGCCTGAATTCTGGGCCTGGGCGCTGTCCCTCAGCTCTTTAGCTCAAGGATAGCGCTCACCACTTGAGCCACAGCTCCACTACTGGCTTTTTCTGCTTATGTGGTGCTGAGGAATCAAACCCAGGGCCTCATGCATGCAAGGCAAGCGCTCTACCACTGAGCCACCTTCCCAGCCCCTAATTAGTTTTTCTTAAAAAAATCAATTTAAATTATCAAGTATATTCTAACAAAGAAATCCAAACTTTAGGTATTTATAGTAAAATCTCTTGACCATTTTCAGTCTTCCTTCGATAAAATCTTTCTCTGAAGCCAAGCCCTGGTGGCTCAGGCCTATAATAACTATTTTGGAGGCTGAGATCTGAGGATTGTGATATGAACCAGCTCGGGCAAGAGTCATTGAGACTGGGGCTGGGAAGATGGCTCAGTGGTAGAGTGCTTGCCTTGCATGCCTGAGGCCCTGGGTTCAATTCCTCAGCACCATATAAGCAAAATGAAAAAAAGCCAGAAGTGGCGCTGTGGCTCAAGTGGTAGAGCTCTAGCCTTGAGCTGAAGAGCTGAGGGACAGCGCCCAGGCCCAGAGTTCAGGCCCCACGACCGGACCCAAAAAAAAAAAAGAGTCATTGAGACTATTATCTCCAACTGACCTCAGAAAACTGGAAGTAATGCAGTGGCTCTAGGTAGTAGAGCAGTAGCTTTGAGTGACAAAAGCTCAGGGATGGTGCCCAGACTTTGAGTTCAAGCCCCATGACTGACAAAAGTCTTTCCCTGAGATTTGGTGTGTCCTGTCACACCTTTTTCTTTAAAATTTTATCAAATAGCATACTTTGTTAATGTCCTGTACCCTAATATATGAAGAAGGTAGGATTTGGATTTGGTGAGGAAAAAATGTGGCATATACCAGTGTTTTTGTGAAAATTGGCTATGAATTCAATCCTGGTACCAGTGCTCGCTTGCATTCTCTCCTCCTCTCTCCCCTCTCTCACTTTCTCCCACTCTCTCCCTTCTTCCCCGTTTATCCTTCTCCCCTCAGTCCCCATAAAAGACATTATAGAATTAGGAGGTTATATAGCATGAAATAAGCCATGTGTGATTATCGGAACTTCAGCTCATCTATGTGAATACTGTCTGAGAGGTGAAGGGTCATAGGCTGTGGGACTTTTGCTTCCCTCAGCTGTAACAGATGAGAGAGAATTTGAAAGGTCTCCAAAACTGAAAGGCAATATGTATGCAGATAATTTTTACTTTAGGAATAGTTGAGTCTGATTTTTTTAAGTCTGTTATAAATTTCCTGATGTATTTATGTTGCTGGAATTTCAGAATGCTTCCCTTAGAAGATCATGTGGGTCCATCCTGATAAGCATCAGATACAATCACACAAGATTGTATCTTAAAAAAAAAAAATGTATCTGAGACCCACCAGCCTGCTTTGTTTTTTGTGTATGGCTGGCTGATTGCATTCTGTAAGTTTTCTTTTTAGATACTAAAACCTTTCCAGTTAGAATCTTTTTTTATTTTTTTTTGGTGACAGTCCTGGGACTTAAACTCAGGGCCTGGGCACTGTTCCTATGTTCCTGAACTTCCTTTGTTCAAGGCTAGCTCTCTACCACTTGACCCACAGTGCCACTACCAGCTGCTTTTTTTTTTTGCCAGTCCTGGGGTTTGAACTAAGGGCCTGGGCCCCTGCCTGAGCTTCTTTTCCTCAGGCTAGCACTCTACCACTTGAGCCACAGTGTCACTTCTGGCTTTTTCTCTTTATGTGGTACGGAGCTCTTACATCTTTTTGGTAGTTTATTGGAGATGAAGTCTCACAGACTTTCCTGGCTGGCTTTGAACCTTGATCTTCAGATCTCACTCCTGAGTGTAGCTAAGATTACAGATGTGAGCTACTACTCAAAAAAATTTTCATTGCTCAGATATATAGGATTGTGGGCTGGGAAGGTGGTTCAGTGGTAGAGCGTTTGCCTTGCATGCATGAGGTCCTGGGTTCAGTTCCTCAGCACCACATAAGCAAAAAGAAAAAAAAGCCGGAAGTGGCGCTGTGGCTCAAGTGGTAGAGTGCTAGCCTTGAGCTGAAGAGCTGAGGGACAGTGCCTAGACCCAGAGTTCAGGCCCCATGACCGGACCCAAAAAAAAGAGAAGATATATAGGATTGTTGCTCTAGAACTTTCTTTTTTTTTCTGGCATTTTTTTTTTAAATTGTGAAAATACTGTACAGAGGGGTTACAATTACACGGGCAAGATCATGAGTACATTTCTTCTCAAGCATTGTAACCTCCTCCTTTGTTTCCCCTTCCCATCCCTTTCCATTTTTTCCCACCCAATTAGAACTTTCTTATCTACTGATAATTACAGTTGTGTTTGTTAGGTTTTTAAAAAGAGCTAGCCGAGTAAGAACTGCACCACGCAGGTGGTATTCAGGTAAGGGGTAGGTTTATTCATCGTTCAGGCTAGCACCAGGCCATCTTGGTCCTCAACGCGGTGGGGAAAGGCCTGGGAAAGAGAGAGAGATGGGGAAAAGAGCTAAGAGAGAGCTAGAAAAGAGAGAAAATAGCTAGAAAAGAGAAGAGCTAGAAAAGAGCAGAGAGAGGGCGTCTTGGCCTGGGCTAGGCCTTATCTAGGGTATGGGTGGAGAAAGGTGTGGCCACATCAAATTCAGATGAGACCTCAGCCGATGCAGATGTGACCTCATCCAGGTGTCCCATTGCCTAGGTAACACAAGTATAGGTGGAGACTTTGCTGCGAGGAGGGTGGAGTCTGCTAGCCATCCAGGAGTAGACCTTACAGTGTTTAGGTTTATACTCAGGATGTTTTCAGAGGTGTGAAGTATGTACTTGTTGCTGAATAGTAATAGCTGCCTCCTTGTTCATTGTTCCTACTAGCTTATTGTTGAAGCTGTCAGTTCTTTGCCTTATTCAACTCTCCCAAAAGCTATCTGGGAATGGTATTTCGTATATACTTTGATACGTAGTTTGCTTTTGTCTGCTTTTTGTTTAATCCTCAATAGAAAGTAAAAGATGTCTGTGTGTGTATTTGTGTTTGTGTGCCAGTCTTAAAGCTTGAACTCAAGACCTGAACGCTGTCCCTGAGTTTTTTTCCTCCCCCTCAAGGTTTGTTCTCTACCACTAGAGCCACAGCTCCATTTTCGGATTTTTCCTGGTTAATTTCATGGACTATGCTGCCTGGGCTGACTTTGTACTGTGATCCTCAGATCTCATACTTTTTTTGTCCACCATGGGACTTGAACTCTAGGCCTGCACACTATCCCTGAGCTCTTCAGCTCAAGGCAAACACTCTACCACGTGAGCCAGAGCACCACTTCCAGTTTTCTGGTGGTTAATTGGAGATAAGAGTCTCACAGACTTTTCTTGCCCCGGCTGGCTTTGAACTGTGATTCTCAGATCTCAGCCTCCTGAGTAGCTAGGATTTACAGGCGTGAGCTACCAGTGCCCGGCTCAGATCTCATACTTCTAGCTAGCTAGGTTAATAGGCATGAGACACTGGCACCTGACTAGATTTTTTAAAAATCTGTATGTATGTATTTATTTGTTTATTTAATACTGGATGCTGGTCTTGGGGCTTTAACTCAGTGTTGTTGTTGTTGTTGTTTTAACTGATTGAAGACTCTAGGGGATTTATCTGCCCTCAGTGTCCATGAACTCCTCCTGAGTAGTTAGGACTACAGGTGTGAGCCATCTGCACTCAGCTACAAATCTTAATTGAAAGATAAATAGCAGATTTATTTTATGTTTGTATCAGGTACGACCAAAACCTCCACTTTTGAAGATATTGCAAGCAGCAGGCGCACAAGGTGAAATGTTCACTGTAAAAGAGGTAAGCCATCAAAGGAAAAATTCTCAGTTTTAAGGGCATTTGAGATAAGCCAGCAAACATTAAGCTCTGAAATCAGTTCTGAGAAAGGAGTTCCTACTTCTGAGGGATTGGAGGAACAGCTTTTTAAAGACTGTCACTTTAAGCTAATTTCTTTCTTTTAAGGTTCCTTTGGAAGTATGTAAGATTAACCTGAATTCTTTGATCTGAGAGTTCAAATGTAAAATGTACAGATTAAGAAATGGCATCAGCTTTTACAAGTTATGCTGCTAGGCAGGAATTTTTTTTTTTTTGCTGGTTGTGGGGCCTGAACTCTGGGCCTGGGTGCTGTCCCTCAGCTCTTCAGCTCAAGGCTAGCACTCTACCACTTGAGCCACAGCGCCACTTCCAGCTTTTTTTTTCTGCTTATGTGGTGCTGGGGAATCGCACCCAGGGCCTCATGCATGCAAGGTAAGCGCTCTACCACTGAGCCACCTTCCCAGCCCCCTAGGCAGGAATTTGATGCAGTTTTTCATTATAAATGTGTCAGATAATTTTACCAGCACTACGAGTTAACATAAACACTTTTGCATTTAGATAACTTAATTTAGCATCAAGTTTCTTTTTTTATAAAGGCAAATTGAATTTCTTAAGTGGAAAAGACTTAGTATGAAAAAGTTAATCTACTGGAATTGTTTGCATTAGTAGACTAGATACCTAATGCTTTCTAAATAGGGTAAATAAGATTTTCAAGGGTGTGTGTGAATGTGAGTGTGTGTGTGTTGGTGTGTTGGTTTTGGGGCTTGAACTCAAGGCCTGGGTGCTGTCCTTGAGGTTTTTTCTCAAGGGAGAGTGCTGTACCACTGGAGCCACAGTTCTACTTCTGGCTTTCTGGTGGTTAATTGGCGAGAAGAGTCTCTAGTCCTTTCCTGCCTGGGCTGGTTGTGAACCATGATCCTGATTTCAGCCTCCTGAGTTGCTAGGACTACAGGTGTGAGCTGCCAGCACCTGACCAGATGCTAATTTTTTTTTTTTTTTGGTCTGGTCCTGGGGCCTGAACTCTAGGCCTGGGCACTGTCCCTCAGCTCTTCAGCTCAAGGCTAACGCTTTACCACTTGAGCCACAGCGCCACTTCTGACTTTTTTCTTTTTGCTTATGTGGTGCTGAGGAATCGAACCCAGGGCCTCATGCATGCAAGGCAAGCGCTCTGTCACTGAGCCACCTTCCCAGCCCAAAAATTGTCTTTTTTTTTTTTTTTTTTGGACGGTTGTGGGGCTTGAACTCTGGGCTTGGGCGCTGTCCCTCAGCTTTTCAGCTCAATGTGAGCACTCTACTGCTTGAGCTACAACACCACTTCTGGTTTTCTAGTGGTTTATTGGATATAAGAGTCTCATGGACTTTCCTGCCAGGCCTGGCTTTGAACCGTGGTCCTCCTAAGTAGCTAGATTACCTGTGTGAGCCACCGGTGCCCAGCCGCTAATTTTTATTTGTAATCTGTAATTTTTAGTGTGTGCAGAGGCAGTATGATGTAATAGAACTAGTAGTATACACAATTAGTGTTCTAGAGGGTCCTATTTTATATTTTTGTAGTTTATTAATTTATTTTCTGGAAGTTTAATGGGCTTTTCTACTTTTCTACTAGGTGATTTTCTCTTAAGTTGAGTTGATCAGCTGTGAGAGCTGAGCTAATCCATGAATTCTGGACTCGTAGGAGGGCTGACTAGAAACATCATTGCTGGGGCTGGGAACGTGGCCCCACAACTGGACTCCCCCCCCCCCAAAAAAAGAAACATCATTGCTCCAGTATAATGGGAAATAGTATTAGAAAATTCTGGATTGATGTTCAAGAATTTCTAAGAGGTTAGGCTTTAAAGATAAGTACAGCTGCATTAGTCTGTGGTCTCTAACAAGAACTTAGTTATTAAATTAAAAAATTTTTAACAATAGATTATCATTGGCACCAGGCTTATGCCTGTATAATCTAGCAACTTTGGAGGATGAGATCAAGAGGATTGTAGCTTGCGGCTAATCTGGGCAAAAAGTGTATAGAGACTAATCTCAGCCAATAAAGAGCTGAGGATAGGGGTTGTAAGGTCGGCTTCTGGTTGGCGAGCAGACTCCACCCTCCTCCCAGCAGTCTCCACCCAGTACCTGCGTTACCTAGGGAACTGGCACACCTGTAAGAGGTCACATCTGCATCTGCTGAGGTCACATCTGAATTTGATGTGGCCACACCTTTCTCTGCCCATACCCTAGATAAGGCCTAGACCAGGCCCAGACGCTCTTTTTTTTCTAGCTCTCTTCTCTTTGCCAGCTCTCTCTTTCCCAGCTCTCTCTCTTTCCCAGGCCTTTCCCAGCTGCATGGAGGGCCAACATGGCCTGGTGCCAGCCAGAACGATGAATATTGCTACCCCTTACCTGAATACCACGTGCATGGTGCTGTTCTTACTTCGCAATTTCTTTTTAAAAAAACCTAACAGTGGTATGTGCCTGTCATCTTAGCTAAATGGGAATCATAAATAGGAGAATCATGGTCCATGGGATCATTGACATGATCTCATGTTAATGAGGTCCTTTTTGAAAAATGATGAAACCAAGAGGACTGGTAGTGCATGGTTCAAGTGGTTTGAGCCCCTGCCTAAGAAATGCAGAGCCCTGAATTCAAACCTCAGTATTGCCTCCCCTATCTTGCAAATAGATAATTGTACATTTGCCAGAAAAAAGTAAATGAACATAAATCAAAATCACTGGGTATGTGCCCTTGGATTTGGGAAACATTTTCGTGGCCAGCAGTCAAGTGTGTTCTACCTAGTACAGAAGCAGTGGTAATAAAGAACATACATTTTCATTTGGACTGATAAGAAAAACTCATTACCTCATCTCCTTATCAGGTAAGTATGATTTGTTAATAAAAGTGTGTATCTTGTAAATGACCAGAAAGATAATGGATGAATTAGTAGTTTGAAGTTACTGTTCTTTTGTAGGACCCTTGGATGCTGTCAGTGTACACGCCTGGACAGTTTCCTTATCTTTTCTCTGGAAACTGCTTTACTAATAATTATTTTGGGAGCATTTGGACAGATTGTTTCATGTTGTTTTATTCCCATGCAGGTAATGCACTATCTAGGCCAGTATATAATGGTGAAGCAGCTTTATGATCAACAAGAGCAGCATATGGTATATTGTGGTGGTGATCTTTTGGGAGAACTACTAGGACGTGAAAGTTTTTCTGTGAAAGATCCAAGGTAAAAAGAGTGAAGGAGTGTGTGTGTGTGTGTGTGTGTGTGTGTGTCAGTTGTAGGGCTTGAACTCTGGGCCTGGGAGAACTACTAGGACGTGAAAGTTTTTCTGTGAAAGATCAAAGGTAAAAAGAGTGAAGGAGTGTGTGTGTGTGTGTGTGTGTGTGTGTGTGTGTGTGTGTGTGTGTGTGTGTGTGTGTGTGTGTGTGTGTGTGTGTGTGTGTGTGTGTGTGTGTGTGTGTGTGTGTGTGTGTGTGTGTCAGTTGTAGGGCTTGAACTCTGGGCCTGGGCGCTGTCCCTTAGCTCTTCAGCTCAAGATGATCACTCTACCACTTGAGCTAAAGCGCCTCTTACGGCTTTCTAGTGGTTTATTGGAGATAGGAGTCTCACGGTCTTTCCTGCCCTGGCTGGCTTTGAACTGCAATCCTCAGACCTCAGCCTCCTGAGTAGCTAGGATTACAGGCGTGAGCCACCAGCGCCCAGCTTGAGTACTTATTCTTAATCGTAGATCTCCATAAATTATTAGTGGTTATTTCTTCTTTCAGTCAACAAGTATTTTAAGGGCCTGCATATATTATATAGCCGGTAGTACATCAGTGAGCAATACCAGAAGTCTGACTGGATGGAGCTTAGAGAGTAGTGAGGTACTCTTCCACACTCAGTCAAATAATCATACCCATGCTTGGTAGAATTACACCACAATTAAGTGATATAAAAAAGAGGAGCATGAATCAAGAGCATGTAAGATTTCAAGTGCTAATGATTCCTCAGGAAGTGAAATTTGAGCTGAGTTGAAGAGCACTGTTGGTTAGATAGGATTGGTTGAAGGATAGCTTCATTTTGAAGATGATGTGTAAAGGCCTGGATAGGAGCTTAATGTAGCTAGGTCTGGACCTTAAGTAATAGAGAGGGGAAAGATGAGCTGATGAGAAAGATGTAGAATTGCTGGGTGGTTTGAGGCTGATGATGAGTCTAGTAAATATTGTAGTAGAGCTAATCTGCCCAGTATCTCCAGTTTTGTGAGACATATAGTCATTTTCTTGTCCCGTTCAGCTAGTTAGTAATTGACTCACAACTGCTTCTTTGTGTGTTCATATGTATGTGTGTTTGTGTGCGTGTATGCATACATGCCAGTACTGGGCATGAACTCTGGGCCTGGACACTTGTCCTTGAGCTTGTGCTCTCAAGGCTAGTGCTCTACCACTTGAGCCACAGCTCCAATTCCTGACTTTTTTAACTGGAGATAGATCTTACTGCTTGGGCTGGCTTCAAACTTCGATCTTCAGATCTCAGCCTCCTGAGTAGCTAGGATTACCAGCATGAACCATCAGTGTCTGACTTCATAACTCTTTTCTTTTTCTTTTTTTTTTTTTTTGGGTCCTGTTGTGGGGCCTGAACTCCAGGCCTGGGCGCTTTCCCTCAGCTCTTCAGCTCAAGGCTAACGCTCTACCACTTGAGCCACAGCGCCACTTCTGGCTTTTTTTCTTTTTGCTTATGTGGTGCTGAGGAATCGAACCCAGGGCCTCATGCATGCAAGGCAAGCACTCTACCACTGAACCACCTTCCCAGCCCCTTCATAACTCTTGTCTTCTGGGTTTTTTGTATCTTATTATTCATGACTCTCCTCTCTCCTCTCACTTCCCAGTATAAATGTAAAATTTGACTGTTACAAGGAAGGAAAAACTTCCAAAGGAAATCTGTCCACTGAATTATTGTTAGTGAAATAAAATGTAAATTGATCAGTTTTATCAGTTTTTTTTTTTGTCGGTCATGGGGCCTGAACTCTGGGTCTGGGCACTATCCATTAGTCTTCAGCTCAAGGCTAGTGCTCTATCACTTCACTCACAGTGCCACAGCACCACTTCTGGCTTTTTTTGCTTATGTGGTGCTGAGGAATCGAACCCAGGGCCTCATGCATGCAAGGCAAGCACTCTACCACTGAGCCACCTTCCCAGCCCTTCATCAGTTTTTTTTTTTTTAAATTGTGAAAATACCTTATAGAGGGGTTACAATTACATGGGCAAGATAATGAGTCCATTTCTTATCAAGCATTGTTGCCTCCTCCTTTGTTTCCCGCCCCCATCCCTTCCAACATCCCCCCCTCCCCCCATCAGTCTTTTAATAGGAACAAAGTAGCAAAAAGACCTGAACTTTTTTGTTGTTTTGGTCTGTCATAGGGCTTGCACTCTGGGCCTGGGCGCTGTCCCTCAGCTCTTTAGCTCAAGGCAAGCACTCCACCACTTGAGCCACAGCTCCACTTCTGGTTTTCTGAGTGGTTTATTGGAGATAAGAGTCTCATGGACTTCCCTGCCTGGGCTGGCTTTAAACTGCGATCCTCAGATCTCAGCCTCCTGAGTATCTAGGATTATAGGTGTCTGCCACCAGCACCCAGCTAAGCATTTTTAATATTTAAATAATTTAAAAAAATTCTGGGAAAAGATTCTGCCAATACTTAGTAGAGAAAGTTGAGAGATAACATCAGAAATACATTTATTATTCAATGGAAAATCAAAGTATCACTACTGTCTTTTCTTTTTGCAGGTCCTGGGGCTTGAACAAAGGGTCTGGGTGCTGTCCCTGAACCTCTTTGTGCTCAAGATTAGCACTCTACCACTTGAGCCACAGTGCCACTTCTGGCTTTTTTTTGAGTAGTTTATTGGAGTCTCATGGGGACTTTTCTGCCTGGGCTGGCTTTGAACTGTGATCCTCAGACTCTCAGCCACCCAAGTAGCTAGGATTACAGGAGTGACCTACCAATGTCTGGCTTCACTGCTGTCTTTAGAATGGTATTTGGGGTTGTTAATTTTCTTTTTTTAATTCCTTTAACAGCCCTCTCTATGATATGCTAAGAAAGAATCTTGTCATGTTACCTACCGCTACCACAGGTATGTCACATATTTCTTTGGTTGGTTATTACAGCTTTGAGTTTAAGGGGCAAATGATGGGAAAGCAAGGATGATTGAAATGAAAATGGAATGCTATCTTCTTTATGACTAGGAGGGATATAATCTGTCATACCAAATGTTACTATGTTAAATCTTTCACTGTGAAAGCATACTGAGAATAGAGGTGCCTACCTCCCAAGACTTAGTAATTATAAACACTTGACCATATTTGCTTTATATTACTAAAAAAAGATCTCACAAATCAGAAATCTTTTCCTTCAAACAGAACTACACACCATTATTCCATTAGGTAATAACAAAATTAATAAATATTCCATAATTCTACTTAATAAGTCTCCCCTCAGTTACCTCAATAATACCTTTTATTTTTGGATTGTTCAAGTCAGGAGCCAAAGTTTACACATCATACTTGGCTGATAATATGTGTTTTCAGTCTACAAAACTTAACTATCTTTTTTGTGTGTGTTTTGATTTGGTTTTAATGAACACTTTTATTCAATAATAAAACTTTGTCTTTAAAAAATGACATATAATAGGTATACATATTTGTGGAATACTACCTATTTCATCACATTTATTGAATGTATGTGCAATAATTGAATTAGGCATATCTGTCACCCTCAAGTATCATTTTTTTGTGTGTCAGAATTATTAAAAATCCTCACTTGTAGCTCTTTGAATATTCAGTAAGTTAACTATAGTAACCCAGTTGTCATGTGGAAACTCCCTTTTTTTTTTATTGTCCCTTATTGTTTGAGAAATGATGAGTCATTTATCTGGTAGAATTTCACACATTTATTGTATCCTTGTGATTGTTTAACTTGTTTCTTTGTCCTCCCTAGTTTTGGTAAACTAATAATGCTTGAATAGATTCAAGTTTACATTTCTTTGCCAAGAGATCTTCATAGATGGTTCTTAGTACTTCCATTTCATCACATCAGTCATGTAAGATCTGTTTGTCCTCCTTTCTTTCAGTCATGTTAAGATTCTGTGGGCTCCAGTAGTGTCAGTCTGATCCATGTATTATAAAGGTTCCCTAAGACCTGTTTCCATAATGATGTACATATATATATACATATATGATGCATATATGTGTATACACATACACATACGTTTTATGATACAGAAATTTGAAGTGAGGGCCTCACAATTGGTGGGCAGGTGCTCTACTGATGAGCCACATCTCCACCCTTCACCTAATGATTTTAATAATCTGTTCTCTAAAAGTTAATTTGTCTAACCTTTTGATTCCAGACCTTTTAAATACTACCCTTTAAATTTAGTTTACTAACTGCAGGAAACTGCTGCTTTGGAGTCTTAATAGTTTCAAAATTGGTAGTGTGGTAGAGATAGGTGAATAAAGTAGTTTCAACTAGAATCTAACCCATTTCTCACTCATGTCCAAGTAGTGAAATTTTACCTCTACAGTCCTACATGAAGCCCTTTTGTCAGCTTCATGAGTTTAGGTAACATGGCCCTTGGAAGAAAGTCTAAGTTATGGAATCTCTTTAGATTGATTATGTTTACTGAATAAATATGTTGAAAATAATTCTTTCACACTAAAGATCTCACATCAGAAAAAAAAATTTAGCTTATACTGAAGCATGATTTTGGAATTTACATTGCTTTCTTTTGACTGTATTTTAGTTTCCATTGAGGTTTGAACTCAGAGTCTTGAGCTTTTCCTTGGCTTTTTCCCTCATGGCTGGTGGTTCTGCTGCTTGAGCCATACCTTTGCTTCAGCATATGTACTAGTTAATTGGAGATGACTTTTGAAGATTTTCTGCCCAGGCTAGCTTCAAATGTGATTCTCAGAGCTCAGCCTCCTGAGTAGCTGGGATTCACTGGTGCCTAGCTTACACTAATTGTGTGTGTGTGTGTGTGTATGTGTGTGCCCGCGCGAGTGCGCGCGCGTGCATATGTGTATGCTAATATGCTAATCCCGGGCTTGAACTCAGGACCTGAGCGCTGTACTTATGTTTTTGTGCTCAAGGCTGGCATTTTACCATTTGAACCACAGTTCTACTTCCAGATTATATGGGTAATTAATTGGAGATAAGAGTCTCATGGGCTTTTCTGCCTGGGCTGGTTTTGAACTGCAGTCCTCCGACCATAGGCTCCCGAGTAGCTAGCATTACAGGTGTGAGCCATTGACACCTCGCTACATTGATTTTTTTTTTTTTTTTGTCAGTTGTGGGGCGTGAACTCTGGGCCTGGGCTCTGTCCCTCAGCTCTTCAGCTCAAGGTCAGCGTTCTACCACTTGAGCCACAGTGCCACTTCCAGTTTTCTGGTGGTTTATTGGAGATGAGAGTCTCATGGAGTTTCCTGCCCAGGCTGGCTTTGAACCGAGATCCTCAGATCTCAGCCTCCTGAGTAGCTAGGATAACAGGGGTGAGCCACCAGCGCCCTTGACTTTTGAGGTCTTTTTTTCATTAAGACATTTGTAGCCATGGATTTCTATTTGAAAGAGAAAGCCTTGTAAGTGATGCCTAAGTTTTATTGGAATTTAGTCATTTATGAAATAATGTAAATTCTTGGGATAGTCATGCTTAAGATACATGGACAATTTCATAATTTTTATATTGCTGATCTACTTTTCTAGACAAATTTGTTTTCTGACTGGTTTGTTCTCTGAGTATCCGGAGTGGATGTAATTCTCATTTTTCCCTTGTTTCTTGTATTTTCTCTGTACAATTTAACATGTCATATATTGTATAGAACTTTTCTCTTTTTTCTTTTTTGGTAGTGATGCCAGGTATCCAACCCAGGGCCTTGTACATGGGAGGTAAGGGAGGCAAGTAATTTACCACTGAGCTACATTATATAGTTCTGTAAAAATAGTTCAGTTCATCTTTTTTTGTCGGTCATGGGGCTTGAACTTTGGACTTTGGCGCTGTCCCTGTGCTCTTCAGCTCAAGGCGAGTGCTCTACTGCTTGAGCCACAGCATCACTTCTGGTTTTCTAGTGGTTTATTGGAGATAAGAGTCTCACTGACTTTCCTGCCCGGGCTGGCTTTGAACCCCGATCCTCAGATCTCAGCCTCCTGAGTAGCTAGGATTATAGGTGTGAGCCACTGGCGCCTGGCTTAGTTCAGTTCATCTTTACAACTACACTGTGAGGTATTTAGGCTGGAGATAAAAAACAGGATTTTTAAATGGAATAAGTGATTTGCCCAATATGAGAGCCACTGGTAAGTGGTAGAGCAGAGATTTCCAACTGAACAGTCCTTGCTGTGCCCATTATGCCATACATTGATGTCTCCTTAATCTTTGCTTATAATCGAATTTTCCCTTCCCAATTTGTTTGGACATACTTCTTCCCTGTGCATATCTTCATTTAATTTTTCATTTTGAAAAATTTCAGACTTGAGTTGTAAAAGGCTAGAATGGTGGTATGCACATGTAAATCTCACTATTTTTGAGGCCAAGGCAGGTGGATGATGGGTTCAAGGCCCATCAGGGCTTCATAGCAAGATTTTATCTACAAAAACAAATCAATAACATAAAATAAAAAATATTACATAGAATTTCCATGTATTGATTACCTAGATTCTCCAAATGGCAGCATCTGAATGCCATAGTTCAGTGGGTATTTCAAAATGTTTTCAGAACCAGGAAATTTTGATTGGTTAGCAGCTCTAAGTTAACTTTGTATTGGTTCTTGTGGTTAGCCATCTTTGTTGATTCTCATAAATTGGATTACATGTATTTTATTTGAAAGGAAAATTGAGAAAAGTTTTTTTTTGTTTTAATTTTTTTCCCCATCACACCCATAAATGTAGTATGAGTTGCCAGTTATTTTGGTAAATTGTTAACATAAATATTATACCCTTTATCTTTTGTTGTTGTTGGTTGTGGAGCTTGAACTCTGGACCTGGGTGCTGTCCTTCATCTAAAGGCTAGTATTCTATCAGTTGAGTCACAGTGCCACTTCTAGTTTTCTGGTGGTTAACTAGAACTAAGAGTCTCATGGTCTTTCCTGCTGGGGCTGGCTTTGTTTGTTTGTTTTTTTTGGGTCCAGTTGTGGGGCCTGAACTCTGGGCTTGGGCGCTGTCCCTCAGCTCTTCAGCTCAAGGCTAGCGCTCTACCACTTGAGCCACAGCGCCACTTCCGGCTTTCGGGCTGGCTTTGAACCTGATCCTCAGATCTCAGCCTCTTGAGTAGCTAGGATTACAGGTGTGAGGTACTGGTGCCTGCCTGCACCCTTAGTCTTATAGTCTCAAGACCTTAGATTCTGCCTAAGCGCCTCTCTGTCTCAAAGTCATCCCTTTTCTCTGTTCCTCTAAGCCTATGTTCCAATACTGTTGTGTTGGAAATCTAGCAACAGTTTTAAAGAATGTCCTGGCTTTGATGTTTTCTGATCCTCACAGTGGAGCTAACCTTTGTGGCTCTTCTGCTCTGTATTGTCTACCATATGGGCTTATAAGACTACTTAGGTACAATTTTTTATGTCAAGTAACCTTTTAGGAAATATAAAATTATGCCTACTGCAATGCTGCTGAGAAACTAACCTTTGTAGAAGACCTGGAGAGTTTTGAATAGCTAGTTAATGTGTTTAAATGTCCAACGTGTATCTAAGTAGAACATAGAAAAGTGCTTTTTGGGGCTGGGAAGGTGGCTCAAGTGGTAGAGCACTTGCCTTGCATGCATGAGGCCCTGGGTTCGATTCCTCAGCACCACATAAGCAAAAAGAAAAAAGCCGGAAGTGGCGCTGTGGCTCAAGTGGTAGAGCACTAGCCTTGAGCTGAAGAGCTGAGGGACAGGCCGAGTTCAGGCCCCACGACTGGATCCCCCCCCCCCCAAAAAAAAAAAAAAGAGAAGTGCTTTTCATGTAACTTTTTACACCTTTGCAAATAGGTTAGAGCTTTATTTTGATGACTGAAAAAAAAATGTCATTACTTAAAGGGAAAGTAAGGCAGCAAGGCTTTGGCAATATGTGACAATAATAGAATTGCTTTACTAAGGAACTGATAACATTGATCTAACGTGTGTTAGTCAAATGATGAAGATTATTGTGATCAGAAAATTTTCTCTGAACTTATTAATATTCTTACTTGGCCATAACAATACTTTAAAAAATAATATTCCTTATTAAAATTTTGAAAAAGTTTGCTTTGAGCTAAACAACTGAATTATCAGAGTTTTTTTTTATTTTTTTGCATTTTTGTGTGTGTATGTGTGTGCTTATACTGATCTTTAACTCAGGGCCAAGGTGTTCTACCTTAGCTTTTTCACTCAACGGTGGTGCTCTATCACTTGAGCTATGTCATCACTTTTGACTTTTTATCTGGCTAATTGGAAATAAGAGTCTCACAGACTTTTCTGTCCAGGCTGGCTTTGAGCCTCAACCCTCAGATCTCAACCCTAAGCTACTCAGATACTGGATTATAGGGATGAGCCACTGGTGTCTAGAATGGTCAGAATGGTCAGTGTAGAATCTGTATTCTTTTTCTGATAATCCATTTTGGATGAAGATGATATTTCCTGTAAATGTCATCTCTGGAACTGGTAATAGCTGATGGTCCTGATCCAAAACAGATTTATTCAAGTGTGTTTTGCTTCCATTTAGCTTCATATAAAGAATGGTTCAATTTCTTTTTTTTTTTTTTTTTAATTTAATTTAATTTTATTTGTGAACATACTGTACAGAGGAGTTACAGTTACATGGGCAGGATAATGTGTACATTTCTTACCAAGCATTGCAGCCTCCTCCTTTGTTTACCCTTCACATCCCTTCCCAGCCTCCCCCCTCCCCCAAAGAATGGTTCAATTTCTTAAATTCTTTATAGCCTAGTTCTTTTCTGAAGCTGGGTTTTTATCTTTTGTTCTGCTGAAAAATTTCCAAGTACTTGAATATATTTGTCTCTTCAGCTAACACAATATCTAAGAACTTCTGTAAGCTAGGTTATATTTCTTTCTTTTTTTGGCCTTGAGATAAACTTTTATCTGGTTCTTCTTCCTTCTTAAAAAATATATTAAGTGGGAGAAATGAGGCTTTGTGAAAAAAATTCCAATCTACATTCAGGTGGTGGGACACTTAGAATGCAGGTTTACTTATTAGGAGCTATTTCTAATTATGAAACATATGGGAAAAATTCCAAGTTTTTATATCTTAAATCTAAACACTTAAGAATACAAATTAAATTTAAAAGGCCAAATATTTTTGTTGTTTGTAAGTGAACAAATTTGGTCCTGCTTGGAATCACTTTTCTTTTTTTTTTTTATTGGTTGTGGGGCTTGAATTCTTTTTTTTTTTTTTTTGGGTACGGTCGTGGGGCCTGAACTCTGGGCCTGGGCACTGTCCCTCAGCTCTTCAGCTCAAGACTAGCGCTCTACCACTTGAGCTTCAGCGCCACTTCCGGCTTTTTTCTTATGTGGTGCTGAGGAATCGAACCCAGGGCCTCAGGCATGCAAGGCAAGCGCTCTACCACTGAGCCAACTTCCCAGCCCGTGGGGCTTGAATTCTGGGCCTGGGCACTGTTCTTCAGCTCAAAGCTAGTGCTCTACCACTTGAGCCATAGCACCACTTCTGGTTTTCTGGTAGTTTATTGGAGATAAGCGTCTCACTGACTTGCTTTGAAATGTGATCCTCAGATCTCAGTCTCCTTAGTAGCTAGGATTACAGGTGTGAGGCATCAACATCTAGTATTTGGAATTACTTTTTGTATAAAAATTTGAAAGCTTGCTATGAAGAACATTTTTTGTCATTTTTCACTTTCTTCCAGATTATAATTTGGAATTATTTTGAACGTAGCCTGTCTTGGTCTTCTTCTTCTTTTTTTTTTTTTTTTTTAATCAGTTACGGATTTTACCCTCTTGCACTTGAGAGCCTTTTCTAGCCAACATATAGAAGTATATCTGTAGGTCTGTAGGGACCAAACCGGCGTCAGGGTTGTTTGCTGTGGTCCTGTTTGTGTGGAAAGAATGGTTATTACCAGGGAAGGTTTTCCTTTTGTTTTACTTGCTATCCAGATGCTGCTCAGACTCTGGCTCTCGCACAGGATCACAGTATGGATATTCCAAGTCAAGACCAACTGAAGGTAAAATCACCACACGGTGACTTCTTTTGTTGTACAGAGTGGCCCCTTCTCTGTACCTGTGGATCTTGGACTCCCAAGGCCTTTCCCTGAATGTAATAAGAATTTAATGAGAAAGGTTCTTGGGAGTTCACAGACCAGGGACAGAGTGAACCTTCTCTGTTCTGCCCATAACAGAGTTCCAGTCTCTGAATCTTTCTTTGGGATGTAGCACTTCTGATCTTCAGTTCTTCCAGTGCACTTTCTTTGGTTTGTGTTTGCCTGCGTGGATGTGTGTATATTTCAGATTGTGTATTTACATAAATGTTTAGGAAAACTTCTTTATTAGATTTTACCAGACTGTTGTAGTTAAGTTTATGTCAGGCCATTTTATAAAGTCCCCTCAAGAACTTGGGGAAATAATCTTGGTATGTGGTGAGAATTTCACATGTTTTCTTGATTATGCTATTTTGTAGTAGGCAAGTGGTTTTATACAGATAATCTGTTTTAAAAAGAAGATTTTGGCCTTTGTGCAGTTTATTTTCCCCATGTGTGGGATTCTCTTAGTGTTCTGTTCATAGAGATTGAGAAGATGTGTTGGCTTTACTTGATGACTGGTTGTGAACTCCAGAGTTCTCTCTCAAGTGCATAACCCATTGTGTTGCACACTCACTGGTGAGCCAGAATGGAACTGCTACATCCCCTGGTCTCAGTCATTTCTACTGAACTGATAGACATCTCTCTCCCTTCTTTCAGCAAAGTGTGGAGGTAAAGCCCAGTTCCAGGAAAAGAACTGAAGAAGGTGATATTTCCACACTACCTATCTCACAGCATAAACGCAGAAATTCTAGAGGAGGTAATTTTGGATTAAGGCTATGCAGACTTTTCTTTTTATAGTTTTCTTTAGTTTTCCCCCCTCCCCTCTCCCCCTCTTCCCTTCTCCCTTTCTCTCCCTCTCTCTGTCCTGAATAGCTAGGATTATAGAAATGAGCATTCAGTGCCTGGCTGGTTAGAATGTTTTGTCTTGACCTTTTGAAGTAAAGACTAATTTTATAGATGTATGTATTTATTTATTTGTTTATTTGATTGTGGGGCTTGAACTCTGGGCCTGGGTGCTGTCCCTCAGCTCTTCAGCTCAAGGCTAGCATTCTACCACTTGAGCCACAGCGCCACTTCCGGCTTTTTTCTTTTTGCTTATGTGGTGCTGAGGAATTGAACCCAGGGCCTCAGGCATGCAAGGCAAGCACTCTACCACTGAGCCACCTTCCCAGCCCTGTTCTAAAGGTTTAAATTAAATTTGAATCAATTTATTATGCTGCATTGTTTTCTACAAATTACATTTAAACATAAAATTAATTTTGGACTATTTATTTTTCTTTGAACTTTTTAGTCTGTATAATATTAAAGTTATAATTTTAAAATTTAGATGCAAGTCTTTATTTTCTATTCAATATGATGCTTAAAAGTATACGAACAAGCTGGGCACTGATGGCTCACACTTGTAATCCTAGCTACTCAGGAGGCTGAGATCTGAGGATCGTGGTTGGAAGTCAACCTGGGCAGGAAAGTCTGAGATTCTTGTCAATTAACCACCAAAAAGTTGGAATTGGTTCTATGGCTCAAGTGATAGAGTGTTAGCTTTGAGTACACAAGCTCAGGGACAGTACTCAGGCCCTGTGTTCAAGCCCCAGAACTGGCAAAAAAAAGCGCCAAAAACAACAACAAAAAAAACCAATTCCCCCCCAAAAATCCAAAGTGTAAGTAAGAACAGTTATATAAAAAAAAAACTTTGGGGCTGGGAAGGTATCTCAGTGGTTAGAGCTCTTGCCTTGCATATATGAGGCCTTGGGTTCGATTCCTCAGCACCACATAAGCAAAAAGAAAAAAGCTGGAAGTGGCGTTGTGGCTCAAGTGGTAGAGCACTAGCCTTGAGCTGAAGAGCTGAGGGACAGTGCCCAGGCCCAGAGTTCAGGCCCCAGGACTGGATTCAAAAAAAAAAAAAGAATCTTTGTACTGTTTGTGATGGAAATTTGGTAGTAAACAGTTTTAGCATGTTTAGTAAAATCTATAGGTAGAAAATACAGAATATTTATTTGTGGAAAGAATATATTATAGAATTTAAATGTAGATGCAGATAACTTTAATACAGTGCCATCTCAGAATCATTTTAGCAATGAATAAGTACAAAGATAGTTGATATGCTTATAGTGATGGGATTGACATAAAGTAGCCAAGTTAATCTTATGTTCTGTCAGGGACCTTTTTATTACAGAAATTCTTTTAACAACTTTGAGTACATTTCAGCATCTGTGATTGTTACTGGCAGGCCTAGTGTACTGGAGAGATAGAAGGTAGTAAGAAAGCAGGAAAAGGCTACAACAAAAAGTACTGAAGAGCTGGGCTCCAGTAGCTCATGCCTGTAATCCTAGCTACTCAGGAGGCTGAGATCTGAGGATCACAGTTCAAAGCCAGCCCGGGCAGGAAAGTCCATGAAACTCTTCAGTAAACCACCAGAAAACCAGAAGTGGCCCTGTGGCTCAAGTGGTAGAGCGCTAGCCTTGAGCTAAAGAGCTGAGGGACAGCACCCAGGCCCAGAGTTCAAGTCTCATGACTGACAAAAAAAAAAAAAAAAGGACTGGAGGATGAGAAAGAGATTGGTAGCAGCTTATGTTAGTGTTCTTTTTTTTTTTTGGGGGGGGGGTGTCCGGTCGTGGGGCCTGAACTCTGGGCCTGGGCGCTGTCCCTCAGCTCTTCACCTCAAGGCTAGTGCTCTACCACTTGAGCCACAGCGCCACTTCTGGCTTTTTTCTTTTTGCTTATGTGGTGCTGAGTAATTGAGCCCAGGGCCTCATGCATGCAAGGCATGCTCTACCACTGAGCCACCTTCCCAGCCCTATGTTAGTGTTCTGAGTGTGGTTTAGACATGAACACAAGGTATTCAAATATGTGTGTCCTTTAATGTTGGCGATGTTGCCACCTAACCCCAAAAGAGTTCATTGGTCTAGAAGGAGCACATGTATGTATTTGACAATCTAAAGTTCAGTTTATAATAGTTATAATACCTATGAAAACATGAATTACTGAGAAATATCCCAACAAGCTTGACTGAACAACCTTATTGCCAATTATGGTCAATATTGTAATTAATTTTTTGTTATTAATTTTTACCGGTCCTGGGGCTTGAATTAAGGGCCTAAGCTATGTCCCTGAGCCTCTGTGCTCAAGGCTAGTGCTCTACCATTTGAGCCACAGTGCCACTTCTGGCTTTTTCTGTTTATGTGGTAGAGAGGAATCGAACCCAGGGCTTCATGCATGCTAGGCCAATACTCTACCAGGCACATTCCCAACCATGCCTGCTTTGATCACTAAGGTTAGGCCACTCTGCTGTTACCTACCATTTGCAGTCCATTGGATCAAGTACTTACTCATATTAGAGCAAGTCATTATGATAGTGGTAGGAACATATAAAATGCCAGTAAATGATGACTTAGAAATCCTTTCACAGCAGTGCCATTCTTGAGAGGTTTTTATAGTTTAGATTCCTCATTAAGTGAGCATACACTCCTACTATTGCTAATGGAGCCTAAACGGGAGATTCTGAGTTCTGATGCTGTCATATAATGTGATTATAAATATTCTGATGAGAGTATGAGTTCTTTTTTAAAAGTTATTTTTATTGTTACTATAAAGGTGTTGAACAGAGTGGTTAGAGTTACGTAAGTCGGGTGAAGAGTAAGTATTGGGTCTTAAGTGTTAAGTATATATTATTATTTTCCTTTGACTTCTGTAGATGAAGACTTGATAGGAAATTTAACTCAAGATGAAACATCTAGGCTGGAACTTGATTTTGAGGAGTGGGATGTAGCTGGCCTGCCTTGGTGGTTTTTAGGAAATTTGAGAAACAACTATACACCTAGAAGTAATGGATCAACTGATTTACAGACAAACCAGGTAAACTTCACATTTGAATGGGAACTGTGTCCTCCATTCTCTTCTGCCTTTCTCCCTCACCCCTCTGCATTGGGGTTTGAACTCAGGGCCTCATGCTTGCTTGACTTGCTTGCTCAGGTGGCATTCTTACTACTTGAGCTATATCTCTGGTCAAGCTTTTTGCTGGCTATTTTGGAGATGGAGTCTAGCAGGATTGTCTGCATGGGATGGCCTTGAACCACCTATCCTTTAGATCTTAGCCTACTAAGTAGGATTATAGACTTGAGTCACTTGTGCCTTTTTTTTTTTTTTTGGTCAGTTGTGGGGCTTGAACTCTGGACCTGGCCACTGTCCCTCAGCTCTTCAGCTCAAGGCAAGCGATCTACCACTTGAGCCACAGTGCCACTTCCAGTTTTCTTGTGGTTTATTGGAGATAAGAGATAAGAGTCTCACGGACTTTCCTTCCTTGGGCAGGCTTTGAACTGTGATCCTCAGATCTCAGCCTCCTGAGTAGCTAGGATTACAGGCATGAACCACCAGTGCCTGGCCTAACTTCCATATTGAGCTCCCTGCTTAACACTTTTAGAGTTTCTGAGTGTGTGTGTGTGTGTGTGTGTGTGTGTGTGTGTGTGTGATTTCTTTGGAGGTACTGAGGTTTGAACTAAGGGCCTGGCACTTCCTGGGGAGTGTTCTATCACTTCAGCCATACCCCTTTAAAATAAAGTCTTGATTTAATAAAACAAAATAAAACTTGGCTTTACTAAACATTCTGTCCCTAGCTTTCCCATAAATTAGCCAGTTATTTCAACCAAACATCACGGTGATCCTGCTGTCTTGCTTTGACATAAACCACATCGAGTTATAAAAGAACTGAGCTTTTTATTCTTGGCTTTCCTGAGCTACTTAGTGTGAATGATTCAAAAGCAAAAGCAAAAGCAAAAATGTTTGGAAACTGTCAAGGTTTGGGGTACTATTAGTATTTCTAATTTTAATTTTTTACCATCAGTAATTTTTAAATGGATTTTTTTTTGTGGTCAGTTGTACAGCTTGAACTTGGCCTGGGCACTGTCCCTCGGCTCTACCATTTGAGCCACAGCACCACTTCTGGTTTTCTAGTGGTTTATTGGAGATAAGTGTCTCTAGGCCTTTCCTGCCCTGGCTGGCTTTGAATCATGATCCTCAGATCTCAGCCTCCTGAGTAGCTAGGATTATAGGCATCAGCCAGCTTAAATATTTTATCACTGCATGTTTACAATTGATTTTTCAATGACTTTAAAAAATGAGTGGAATAAAATTTAGAGTCCTTTAGACATAGTTTGCCTCTCCTCCTATCATTCTTTGTTGTTTACTGCATGCGTTCTAGACACCACACTTGTGACCCAAAATTCTTTCCTATCTCAGGCAACTTAAATTTATTCTTTATACTTTCTGAGAAAGAACAAATATCTTTTCCCAAGTCCTCTTATTTCCTTTTCTTGATTTCAGACTTGTCTGAAATGTAATTTCTTTTGGGTCCAGTCATGGGGCCTGAACTCTGGGCCTGGGAGCTGTCCCTCAACTCTTCAGCTCAAGGCTAGCGCTCTACCACTTGAGCCACAGCACCACGTCCAGCTTTTTTTCTTTTTGCTTATGTGGTGCTGAGCAATCGAATCCAGGGCCTTGAGCATGCAAGGCAAGCGCTCTACCACTGAGCCACCTTCCCAGCCCCTGAAATGTAATTTCTTTAGAGAGGTTATTCCTAGCTACCAAGGATGTCATACTCTATAGTTCCAGTGTGGTCCATTCACATTTGTAGCTGGATTTTTACAAGAAATGGCCCTGCAAAACGTCCTAATTAACATAGCCTCCTCCTAAACCTCTCTACTCCTTTATCTTAATTTGTATTCTTCATTTCACTTGTCATTTTGTAAAATCATCATTATATAATTGAATTTTTTTGTTGTTGTCGGTCATGGGGCCTGAACTCTGGGCCTGGACACTGGCCCTCAGCTCGTCAGCTCAAGGCTAACGCTCTACCACTGAGCTGCCTTCCCAGCCCTAAAAGTTATTTTTTTATTAGGATGTATTAGTTGTGCAAGGGTGGAAGGGGGGTTGTTAAAACATCTACATACATACTGTGAACTCCAAACTCATTCCTCTTCCCACCTTCTTAAAACAGTTTTTCTGGGCACTGGTGGCTCACACCTGTAATCCTAGATAGTCAGGAAGCTGAGATCTGAGGATTGCAGTTCAAAGCCAGTCCAGGCAGAAAAATCCATGGGACTTTTAATTAATTAGCAAAAAGCCATAAGTAGAGGTGTGGCTTAATTGTAGAGCACCAGCCTGAGTTCATGCCATGAGTAGTTGCGTACACGGGCACAGATGCTCACAGGCACACACATACGCACTCAACCCCCGCCCCTTCAACATTTTCAACAGATTTCATTGTTCTGTTTTCATATACATTGGCTACATTTATCCTCCTTTTACTTTCTGTGTTGACTTACTTCTAGTACCTCCAACATAGCTCATTTTGTTTTCGTGTGTGTGTGTGTGTATGTGTGTGTGTGTGTGTTGTGTTTTGTTGTGCTTTGTTGGGGCTTGAACTCTGGGCTTGGCACTGTCCCTGAACTCTTCAGCTCAAGGTAAGTGCTCTACCACTTGAGCTGCACAGTGCTACTTCTGGTTTTCTGGTGGTTAATTGGAGAGAAGAGTCTCATGGCCTTTCTTGCCTGGGCTGGCTTTGAACTGCGATCTTCAGCTCTCAACCTCCTGAGTAGCTAGGATTACAGGCATGAGCCACCAGCACCAAGCCTGAGGTTCTTTTTTAATGTATATTAATTGTACAAAAGGGTTTCACCATAAGAATTCACATATGCATATATTTTAATTTAGATTAACTCATCTATTGCTGTCTTTCTCAGTCTTCCCACCTCCTTATTACTCATTAGCGTTGTCTTATGCCATCTTCCTAGACAGATATCATGGTTTGTCCTCCATCATTTTCTTTCCCTTTTAATGATTGTATTTTTTTTTTTTTTTTGGTCGGTCGTGGGGCTTGAACTCTGGGCCTGGGCGCTGTCCCTCAGCTCTTCAGCTCAAGGCGAGCGCTCTACCACTTGAGCCACTTCCGGTTTTGTGGTGGTTTATTGGAGATAGGAGTCTCACGGTCTCTCCTGCCCGGGCTGGCTTTGAACCGCGATCCTCAGATCTCAGCCTCCTAAGTAGCTAGGATTACAGGCGTGAGCCACCAGCGCCCGGCTTAATGATTGTATTTTGTATATGTATTTATTGTCTATTTACCCATAGATGAATGAAATAAGTTTCCACACACTTAAATTTGTTCAATGGTTCACATGTGGTTGGGTGTGGTTGTGTAAACTTGTAACTTTTTTTTGTTTTGTTTTTTTGAGTCCGGTCGTGGGGCCTGAACTCTGGGCCTGGGCACTGTTCCTCAGCTCTTCAGCTCAAGGCTAGCGCTCTACCACTTGAGCCACAGTGCCACTTCCGGCTTTTTTCTTTTTGCTTATGTGGTGCTGAGGAATTGAACCCAGGGCCTCATGCATGCAAGGCAAGCTCTCTACCACTGAGCCACCTTCCCAGCCCTAAATTTGTAATCTTAATATGTGGAAGGTTAAGGAAGATTATGAGTTCATGGTCCAGCTGGGTGCCATAGCAAAACACTTCAGGAAGTGGCAGGGAAAAAATTTCCATTACTGTTGATATTTCTTCAGGAAGCAGTCATCGATGATTAAAAGAAAGAATAATGTAATATTTTCTAGATTCTTGTGGAGAGGAATATTGAGGAATATTTCTGGTTAAGCCACTGTGAGTTCTTTCAAACTCATCAGCATGTGTCTTGGAAGTTATACCTCATTTTCTGTTAAAATAGGAAATTGTCAAGTACTCTTAATTCCAGTCATTGGTTTAACCATAGTACTTGCCAAGTAGAATGAATGCTTACATATCTGTTGAGGAAAGATGAGATGTTCTTTGGAGATAAGAGCGTCAGCAATTTAAGTTTTGAGTTCATTTGTGTTTGCTGAATAGTAGTGAGGAGCCACCGACTATTCATGTTCATTTTTCTCTGTTAGGATATAGGTACTGCCATTGTTTCAGACACTACAGATGATTTGTGGTTTCTAAATGAGTCAGTATCAGAACAATTAGGTGTTGAAATAAAAGTTGGAGCTGCTGATTCTGAACCAGAAGTAGGGAAAGTGAATGACAAAAAGGTACGTTCTAGAAAAATTTTGTTGATTGTATTTATGTATTTATGGTGTAATATGCTTAGGTTTCTGTATCTCTTTGAACAATAAGTTGCTCACATAATTTTCTTCTTTTGCTTTTTTTTGGGTGCTGGTCCTGGGACTTGAACTCAAGGCTGGCACTTGTACCACTTGAGACACAACTCCACTTCTGACTTTTTGGTGGTTAATTGGAGATAAGGCCAGGTACAGGTGGCTTATGCCTATTATCCTAGGTACTCAGGAGGTTGAGATCTGAGGGTCATAGTTCAAAGTCAGCTCAGGCAGGAAAGTCTGTAAGACTTTTCTCTCTTTTATTGTATCTATTTGGACTCAAAATAAACTATTCAGAAAAACCTGGAAGTGGTTTTGTGCTAGCCTTGAGCAAAAGGAGCTCAGGGACTGGAGTTCAAGCCTCTGGACTGGCCAAAAAAATAAAAATAAAAAGAGTGGCTAGAAAGGTGGCTTAATGATAGAGTGCTTGCCTCACATGCATGAGGCCCTGGGTTTGATTCCTCAGCACTACATAAGCCGAAAATGCTAGAAGTAGCACTGTGGCTCTAGTGGTAGAACGTTAGCCTTGAGCTGAAGAGCTGAGGGACAGTGCCCAGGCCAAGAGTTCAGGCCCTATGACTGACCAAAACAAAAGAGAGAAAGAGAAAGAAAGAGTCTCACAGACTTTCCTGCCCAGGCTGGCTTTGAACCTTAATGGTTAGCTCCTGAGCAACTAGTATTAGAAGCGTGAATCACCAGGGTCTGGCTGGCTACCTTTTAGGTTTTTTATTGTTGTTGTTTGTTTTTGTGCTAGTCCTGGGTCTTGAACTCAGGGCCTGGGCAGTGTCCTTGAGATTTTGTTCTTAAGGCTAGCATGCTACCACTGAGCCACAGCATCACTTCTGGATTTTTGGTTTATTGGAGATAAGAGTCTCATAGGCTTTCTTTCCTGGGCTGGCTGTGAGCTGTGATCCTCAGATTTTAGCCTCCTGAGTAGCTAGGATTATATAGGTGTGAATTTTAAATTGAAGCTGATTTGTCTTTTTTGCTTTCAGGTAATAGCCACATCTAAAACAGGTACACCTTACTAATGAGATGTCTTTACCTTCACAGGTGATTGAAGTGGTAAAAAATGATGATTTTGAGGACTCTAAGTCCTTAAATAGTGATACTGATGTAGAAGTTACCTCTGAGGTATGACTGTCCAGTTAAAGTTCTTTTGAATTGATCACGTGTTTAGATGATGTAGTCCTAGTAGCTTCTTTGTGTTGAAGAATGCCATTTTCTCCATTTCTAACCACTTTTCATAGTTGCAAAAAGGTTGTTGGATTATTCAGATCTTGTTAGAGGTTTTTATTGGAATTTTGGAGGAAAGGGGATAATTTGATCCATTCTTTCCTTACTTGGGGAAGGATGATCCAAAATGCCTCTGTGTCCCTGCCATCAGACTTTTTGGACATAACACAGTAGAGACACAGAGTTACTCAAAGTGGTCTTATGTTTCCTCACTAAGCACTTGTATCCCAAGGATCGATAGAGCTGGAGTCTATCTAAAATTCGTGTGTCAATTAAAAAATAATTTCTTCAATATTTTCTTAAAAAGAACCAAGTAAAGGTTAGTTTCCACACAGATTAATATTCATGGAGGACTATTAAAGATTTGTTGATAAGCTCTTAGGCAATAGGTGTTACCAGTTGACAGTTTAAAGTCTAGATCAAAATTTATAGTTTGCTTTTCTCCTCTTATGCTATTTCCTTCCACCTTTCTTCTTTTTTTTTTTTCCCTCTCTCTCTCTTTCTCTCTTTTCTTTTTCTTTTTGGTTGGTCATGGTGCTTTTGAACTTTGGGCCTGGTCACTATCCTTGAGATCTTCACCTCAAGGCTAGTGCTCTAGCACTTTGAGCCACAGTGCCACTTCTAGTTTTCTGGTGGGTAATTGACAATAAGTCTCACAGACTTTCCTGCCTAGGATCTCAGCGTCCTGAGTAGATAAGATTACAGGTGTGAGACAGTTGTGCCTGGCTCCTTCCACTTTTCTTTCTTGTTTTCTTTTTTTTTTTTTTTGGCTTGAACACTGGGCTTGGGCACTCTCCCTCAGCTCTTCAGCTCAAGGCTAGCACCCTACCACTTGAGCTACAGCACCACTTCTGGCTTTTTCCTGCTTATGTGGTACTAAGGAATTGAACCCAGGGCCTCATGCATGCAAGGCAAACACTCTACCACTGAGCCAACTTCCTAGCCCTGTTCCTGAGCTCTTGAACTGAACACAAGTACTCTATCACTTGAACCACAGCACCACTTCCTGTTTTGTGTTGGTTAATTGATCCTCAGATCTCAGCCTCCTGAGTAAGATTATAGGGGTGAACCACTGGCACCCGGCTCCACTTTTTCTTTTAATACTTCCTTCAGTTAGGTAACTGGGAGAAAAGTGGTAGGAAATTGGGTAGGAAGGAGTTTTATGTTTTGCTGCTTGGGGGGAGAGGCATTTTTAGGTTCTCTGGTGTTAATTCCTCCCACTCTGTATTGCTGTTGACCATTGTGATAATTTATTGCAAATTACTTACCTGCCTATTCATAGCTAAGTAATAAAATGGAACATAATAGGTCCAGTAAGTGTTCTTAACCATAATGCAAATAGCTGAGATACATGTTCCCATCTTAATCAGACTTCTATGGCTATTTGGGTAAAGAATAGCTATTATGCCAATAGATTGTATTTCATCGAATCAGGAATCTATGGAGGTTATAGTAAGCTGTGTTATTTTATGTTTTGTTAAAAAAAAATGCCAGTTAAATAGTTGTATACTGTCATACCTCAAACTTTCTTTTGTGGCTCATTGGAAAGCATTTTAGTTAAACAAATAACCATATCCCAGCCTCTCAGTATAGGCAGTTGAGTTGTGACTTCTAAACTTGAAGTGCTTGGCCTTCATTGAGAAAGAAATCAAATCTGCATGTGTCAAATCATTGATCCAAAGGCAGGCAATTAGCCACATTAAGCATGCATGACGTGTTCTAAGTAGCTATCTTAAAATCAAGCACAGCATTTGAAATTCATTGAATATAGAGAAGTAGGAGGGAATTATTTGGCATTCAAAGGCAAAGATATTGGATTTTTAGAGGGTGTGATTTTGTTATACAATTAGCTACATATGGTCCCAGAAGTAGTGAGAGAACATGAGTAAAACTAAATTTTTAAACCTCATGTTAGTTTTAGCTTCCTCTTCGTTAAGTTTTTAAGTTTTTATTAATTTTTAGGGGAGAAAGAATGCTACCTATTTTTTATTTGTTTAGTCTTTGCTGGGCAAAGGAATAAATTATGCTTAGAAAACAAGTGTAAAACTTCCACATGGTTGTAGGATTTGTTCACATCCCGGCTGAACCACTGGTGTGTAATATCTAGGCCATCACTAGTTTGGTGAAATGATAGCCTGCTGTCTCTTTTTCAGCTTACCGTGAAGTGAATATTAATTGGCTGTACTTACCTCTTTGTAGGATGAGTGGCAGTGTACTGAGTGCAAGAAATTCAACTCTCCAAGCAAGAAGTACTGTTTTCGTTGCTGGGCCTTGAGGAAGGATTGGTATTCCGATTGTTCTAAGTTAACTCATTCTTTCTCCACGTCTGATATCACTGCCATACCTGAAAAGAAGGAAAATGAAGGAATTGATGTCCCTGATTGTCGAAGAACCATTTCAGCTCCAGTTGTTAGACCTAAAGAGGGATATGTAAAAGAAGAAAATTCCAAACTTTTTAATCCCTGTAACTCAGTGGAATTCTTGGATTTGGCTCACAGTTCTGAAAGCCAAGAGACTATTTCAAGCCTGGGAAAACTATCAGATAACCTTTCTGAGCACAGAACAGATATGGAAAGTATGGAGGATTGCCAGAATATCTTGAAGCCTTGTAGCTTATGTGAGAAAAGACCGCGAGATGGGAACATTATCCATGGGAAGACAAGCCATCTTACCACTTGTTTTCCATGTGCTAGAAGACTAAAGAAGACTGGAGCTTCGTGCCCTATTTGCAACAAAGAGATTCAATTGGTTATTAAGGTTTTTATAGCATAGTTGAATCAGTTGTAGAGAAATATTGGGAGGATTAGGTCATTCATCAAAACATCAGTATTCTTGTGAGGCAGAGGCAGGAAGATTACAGGTTTTAGGTCATCTTGGTCTACATAGTGAGACTTGTCTCCAAAGAAAAGTAAAGCAATCAGTATTGCGCATCTACTCCATGTGGCCTGCTGTATGTGTTCATTTGCTCATGTGAACATCTGTTTTGGGTCATTTTTTGCCTCTAATCTTATATGAAATTTGAGAATATTTTAGAACTAGATATCAATCTGGGGGACTATATGAACACGGTAAATATGTAAGGCATTTCATTGTCCCTCCAAAGATGACAATTTGGGAGGAAACTTATCAGTATAAACCAAAATGCATTCATTTATTCACTTACCAGATTGTCTGAAGACTTAGCTCTTTAATTGTTCTCTACCCTACTTTACATTCTTCTGTTGTCAGAATCCAAGGTAGTTATTTAAAAAATGCTAGGGGGCTGGAAATTTGGCTCAGTGGTAGAGCACTTGCCTTGCATGCCTGAGGCCCTGGGTTCGATTCCTCAGCACCACATAAGCAAAAAGAAAAAAGCCGGAAGTGGCGATGTGGCTCAAGTGGTAGAGTGCTAGCCTTGAGCAGAAGAGCTGAGGGACAGCGCCCAGGCCCAGAGTTCAGGCCCCACGACCGGACCCAAAAAAAAAAAATATAAAAAATAAAAAATGCTAGGCTAACACTGAGAAAATCCTCCTGATTAAATTATGAGTGCTTTTCTAATCACTGTTGAAATGAAACCACCTGGTTCAGAGGAAGTGGAACACAGGTTTGTTTATTTATTTTAATTGTTATTCCTTGGTGTGGTTTTGTTATGCTGGAGATCAAACCCAGGGCCTCCAACCTGTGCTGTGCCACTGTGTCTCTCTCTTAGTGTTTCAGCCTTGTGTTGCTTAGATGGGCCTCTAACTCTTGATGTTCCTGCTTCAGCCTCCCAAGTAGCTGGGATTACAGGTGTGGGTCACCATCTCCTACTGAAGAAAAAGCTTTGAAATACAAGGATTTCTTCTTCACATGCCTAAGTACAATAGTTTACAAACATTTTTGCTAAACTTACTCCTTAAATATTTTTGAGACAATTGTCTGTAATCTTTTGCACATTTAAAAACTGTAGATAGACTTAACATGTGGTGTGGAGTGTTTCCTTGGAGGATTAAGCACTGCAAACGTTATAGAACATTCCTGTCACCCCAGTGTTCACCTTACTCCTTTTGAGCCACCATTCAACCATAACATGGTTCTCACCATAGATTAGCTTTCCATATGCACATTTTAAATTTGACATTAATTTTTTTTTTCTGGCAGGGTGGGAGGTTTGAGTTCATGGCTAGGGTACCAGCTCAAGGCTAGTGCTCTACCACTTGAGCCACAGCTCCACTTATGTTTTTTTGGTGGTTAATTGGAGATAAAAGTCTCACAGACTTTCCTGCTTGGGCTGGCTTTGAACCATGATCTTCAGAACTGAGCCTTCTGAGTAGCTAGGATTACCTGGCCTTTCACATCTAAGTTTTTAAAAGTTTTAGTACTTACAAAGGATAAACCAATATATTTTGTTTGTTTAAAATATTTTTTATTAAAGCCTTGGAGCTATAGATTTAGATGATTTTTAGAAAAAATCCTGTTGTATAAGCTGGCAAAGCCTTTTCTGATTTACAAACAGATCAGCCAAATCAGACTACATTTAAGTCAGAAAATATACTCATTTTAGTTCAGTTTAATACATGAGAAGAAATAACAAAAATACACCTCTGGCACAGCTTGTTCAGTGATCAGCTTTAGAAAGAGAAGGTACAGAATTCTGAACCAAGCTCTCCTTGCCTTGCCTTGCCTTCTTGGTCCTCGTGGTCTTTTGGGAGTTCTCCAGGTTTTTTGGTCTCTCTCTGTCTCTGGAGTTGTTCACATTGCAAGGCAGTGGTCTATACAGTAAGATTTGGATAGGGACTAGGGTTACTATGAAGAGGGAAGGAAAGAGAAATCTTCTTTAGTTATCTTTGGCTATATCAGTTTTAGGACAAATACAGAAACTGTAGGCTTTCAAATGGAGTTCTTTATAGCTATCCCAGTCTGCTAAACTCACAGGAACATCTTGTCATAGACCCAGGGATACACGGAGAAAAATCTTCATGTGTTGTCAGGGATGTGAGTGTATAATTTTGAAGAACCAGGCTTTTCCTAGGGCTCTTGAACTTAGCAGCGTAGTCATAAGCATCATCTAGGTTTCTGGTTCAAAGTGCTCCAATCCCCTGAATACATGTTCCTGAAAGTTCTGATGCAAGTGTTGTATGGAGTATGCATTTGGAAGCCCTGTTCTAAAGGAAAGATTTTTTTCCTTCCTGTTTTTGTAGGTACTAAAATAGCAAAATCTTTTCATTACCACAGTTAGTTTCCAGAAACAAAGTTTTCTTAAACTACTGAGTTTCAAAAACTATAATGCACTCACACAGTCAGTCCCTTTGCATAAGAAGTGAAATGAGAGGTGATGGAAGAGTTGGAAGTAGGAGCAGTCTGCTGGCTAGTAAGTGTTCAAGAAGTACTTGTTAACCTTCTCATACTTTGTTAGTACTTTAAAGGTGGTCCATGTGGAATTTGGGATGGCTGAAATCTTGTAATAAGTGGATTTATAGCCAAAATGAGACTTTGAACACTTTATCCCAAGAGGAGGTCTTGTGTTTCCAGTCTTGGCCAATCAGCATATTACCTCTTGCTCTCTGAGAACAAGTAAAGTTCACAGAGGAACCTGAACCATTTTCTCCATTGTTGCTGCTTTCTGGAGAATGAAACATCCCTAAGGATGAGTTATTTTTTCCTAGGAAGCAAAACTACCCTCTGGAGGAGAATGTCTGCTAGACTATGGTGAGTGCTCTGAAACTTTCTAAAGTTAATTTCCTCCCAGTTTCTCCACCATCAGTACTCTTTATAATACTTTAATAGCTTTCTTTTTTCTTTTGCTAGTCAAATGTTTTTGTAAATTATAGACTGGATTGGAAATCTGCAGTTGTATCTTATTGATTGATCCCTTAAAGTCTTTTTAAAAAAAAAAAACTTAATAATTGAATATTTTATTTACATTTTGTATATATGAAGTGCTAATTTTGGTTCATCCTTAGCCCTATGGGCTACTTAGCCTTCCTCCTTTTCTGGCTTGTTCAGCTGCATTTTTCACTGCCCTCCTTTAGCACTAAGTACTTTTTGTAGAAGACTAGAAGGAATGCTTTTGGTTTTTATTTTGTAGTGTTAGGTATATGTGTTTGAGTTGAATCTATGTTTACCTGATTTATTTCAAACCGTCTTCTGTTTTTTCATTTTGTTCTTTTTTTTATTGCCTCCAGATTGTTTTTTTCTCTCTGTCCCTAAAGCAAGGCACAGTTTGTGAAGTCTTCAGAGCTTAGTAGTATAAGATAATCACCATTCATTGGTTTGTTTTATTTATTTTTATTTTTCATTTTTTGTTGGTTGTAGGGCTTGAATTATGGGCCTGGGCACTCATTGGTTTGTTTTAATTGCAGAAACATGAGCTCTGATTTTCTGGAGGCAGTGTCAGTTTGTCCTACTTTTCAGCATGCTATCTGAGTTCAGTGTTTTCTGCAACATTATGCCATAGACTAATGAAATCTTACCACATTAGCATTGTGTTTCTTAGTTGTCCTTTAGATGAATACTTTTACAAATGATTTCTTGGACAAAAGTTCAGAGCAGAGGGGCTGGGAAGGTGGCTCAGTGGTACAGTGCTTGCCTTGCATGCCTGAGGCCCTGGGTTTGATTCCTTAGCACCACATAAGCAAAAAGAAAAAAGCCGGAAGTGGCGCTGTGGCTCAAGTGGTAGAGTGCTAGCCTTGAGCTGAAGAGCTGAGGGACAGCGCCCAGTCCCAGAGTTCAGGCCCCACGACCGGACCCAAAACAAAACAAAACAAAAAAAGTTCAGAGCAGAGATGATTAATTCTTAAGGAGAAAAAACTCTAGATCACAACAAAAAATATTTCCTGTCTCATTATTAACTCATTTCCTTTCCAGTGTACTCAACAGTAATTGACATGCCTTTGTATTTAGTACTTACATCAAACTATAAATTTAGACTAAGCCTTTAAACTTGTCTGGTCATATTCACAGTCAATCTAGGGATAGCATAGGTTTCCAGTTGCAGGCTGGAACAGTGAATAGGGTTCTAGCTAGACCAGCTTCTAAACTGCCAGTCTTCACTGCCAAGGTTAATAGAAGGTGAGTTTTATATACAATTTATGTATGTCTAGATGTATGTTACACTGTGTGGCATGCTACTTGGCTTGAAAGAATTTATTGTTTTAGGTCAGCATCATTTGTAATTGTTTATGTCAATTCAGTGCAATGTTGGTTGGTTTGAAAAACATTAATAAGAATTAGGTGTTCTTGAGCTCTACTGTACTATTGTAATTAATGTTACCTTCTTGGTTTACTTTTAAAAGGAAACTTGTTAACCAGCAATTTAATCTCTTCCCCCTTCCTCCAGTTATGTGAAAGTACATGGCTTTAGATACTGTGAACCTCTTCAATTTAGCCCATTATATGTTTAAATTATTCAGATCCATATCCTAGAGAAGAATTCAATTTGATGGTTCCTCCCTTTCATGGGTGTGTGTATGTGTTTGTGCACACACTGTCAAGACTGATGCTCCCTTTGCTAAAGATGGCTGTAGCTTCCTAACTTACTGTGTTTAGAACCTGCACTTCAAAGATAAAGAAACTGCAAGCTCTCCCCTGTGCCAAAAGTAAAATGTATGGTGTTTACAGATGTCTGTAATTTTTGCACACTGACATAGGGAGAGGTGAGGTTACTTTGCTGGAATTTCTCAGATTTGTGACTAGGTGAGCTGCGGTTTAGCGTAGGAGGGGATGAGGCCCTATGGCTAAGCTAGAAATGTATCTCATATGTAGTTCAAGTGGCTCCCTAGACTTAGTTGGGGGAGTTTTTCTTGGTTGTTTTGAGGTATTCTCTCTGTTGACAGAGTGTTCCTTAATTGTCTGCCAGTGCTATCTGCTGCTTCTATAGAAGCCATCAACCCTTTTTCTCCTGTGGGAGGATGTCCCGTAAGCCTGAGCTCTTTCTGTGTAATGAACGTGCAATCCCAAGTAATACCACTATTGGCAAGTGTGTTAAGTGATAGTAAACTCTCATGAAGCTCCAGTGGTACCCATTTGAATGACTGCAGTGTTACAGAGGTACATCTGCAAAAGGAGGTGGCAGGTGCTTCTTGGTAGTATGTCTGAAGTCCATGATGCCGCTTCCCTTGCAGGTTGGTTCCCTTCATGGAGGGTTCTTGTGTGCTCTGGGAGCATAGCACCACTAATAGAACTCCTCATTTTTTAGGGTGGAGAGGTCAAAGATAAAAGGACCAAGGGCTTATCAGAGCATTCTCTTTCTCAGTGTGGTTGCTGTAATTTTATAAATGTTTTATTGAAAATTGACAGCTGTCATGACAGTTCAGAGCATTTAATTTGTTAAAGTTTTTTTTTTTTTTTGTTGGTCGTGAGACTTGGAACTCTGGGCC